TCATCACCATCGCCTGTATCAGCCCCCCGTTGCTGGCAGCCTGCTGTTGCCAGTTGCCTCTGCCGCCGTTGCTGCTGCTGCTGCTGCTGCTTTTGGGCATTTATTGCGCCCGGCATTTGCCGGCTAGTCAGGCACGCGCACACACACACATATATATATATATATATATATATGTACATATATACATATGGTGTCGCAATGTGTATGTGTGTGTGTGCATAAATGTGTGAGAGGCGGGTGTACGGTGCCGGTAGCCTGGTCTGCTGCTGTCGACGTCGTCGCTTGCGCATGCAGCAGCAGCAGCAACAACGACAATCAACGCGCGGAAACGAGCGAAAAGCATAAACCATGGAGATGGGAGGATTGTTAAAATCACGCGACAGGAGGCAAGCAGTCAGCCAGCCAGTCAAAGCCAGCTCACAACGCTAAAATGAATCGCCGGCTGCCGTTGACGTTGGCGAATGGTTTCGGGCCTGTCGTTTGCACGCAGCAGTTTTTAGGGACCGAGCTGTAGAAGGGGGAGCACATTTTTGTTAGCTGGTAGGCTTGTTGGCTGGCTGGCTGGCTGGCTGGCTGGCCGACTCGCTGGCTGGTATTGGATGTTGCAAGCGTCAGGCGTTAATTGCTGTTCCCCGAAGAGGAAGTGGAAATTGTAGAAATGTGCAAGCCAGGGGCAAATGAAAGGAACCGCAACATTAGAAGAGCCCTATTCTACTCAGATTTGGATTTAGATCTGGTTTAACCATTATATATCATTTCAAATTGGCTTATAGAACGAACTGCTTTGCCAATGCCTTCAGACATTGGGTCCTTATAACATCCTGCTGCCGCCGACACAGTGCACAGCACAACAAGCTTCAGCAACAATAGCAATTACAGAATGCACAAAATTGTATTTTCCATTTAACTTTTTGCAAATTGTCGTTGCCGTCGCCGTCGCCGCCGCCGTTGGAAAACGTGTGTAAACGGAATGCGCAAGCAAAAAAAGCAACAAGCCATATGCTATGGCCAATGGGGGACGGAGAGAAAGCAACAGCTGCTAACAATGTTGACGCGTCGCTGATGGCGGGCCAAAACGAAAGACGCAAGAAGCAGTGAGCCGGGCTCTTAAGACGCTACAGGGACGAACTGATAAGCGCAAAGCGCAAAAGGTAAAACATAAAAGCATAAAACAAAACGCACAAAATCGTCGGCCAAGGCTAGCTGACAAAGTTGATAATGATGATTATGATGATGATGCTGATGATAAAACATATTAAGCAATCCAATTCGATTATATTCCTGAGGGCTGTCAGGTTCGGTGGACAATATGGCGTCCTGCAAGCCACAACCACTGTCCCAGCCCACTGGCCACATGCGACCCACTCTCGAAATTAACGCCAAACAAATGAAGCACAAAGCGCGCACACGCATGTGCCGCATGCGGCACACTGCCGATGCTGGCGTCAACGTCTGCGTCGCAGTCAACGTCGACGCCATTGTAACCCTTAGCCTCAACCTCACGCCCCACTGCTGCAGGAGCAAAGCTTGCACAATAAATGAGCAAAAGCTGCACCAAATGCAACGCAAACGACCCCCAAAACCGAAGCGAGCCGCTTCCCAATGTGAAAAATGGAAATAACAGCCAGTAGACAGTAATTCGTGGTGGACATCCCCGTGTGAGTTCGGGGACGGGCAGTAGACTGCAGACTGCAGACTGCAGCCGGCGGCACAACGTAACGTAAGCAACTTAACCATCCACAAGCAAGTCCAAGTCTCAAAAGGCAATATATGTAAAATGTTTCCCTCTCCCACTATTGGCGATAACCTATCCATAGCATAGTAAACATCTTATACTATGTATACGCTTTCAACATGCTTTGCTCTCAATGTTCTCCATGTCTAGTATAAGCCCGCAGCTCAGGTTTAACTTATACAATATTCATAGGCATAGTTTATGTTAGTGTTGACATTTTTATACCCTGATCCCATTAAAAATGGGAAATCAGGGTATAATGGTTTTGTGCAAATGTATGTAATAGGCAGAAAGAGGCGTGGCAGACCCCATAAAGTATATATATTCTTGATCAGGATGACAAGCCGAGTCGATTGAGCCCTGTCCGTCTGTCTGTCCGTCCGTATGTGTGAACGCGTGGATCTCAGCATCTATAAGAGCTAGAGACTTGAAATTTTTTTGTAGGTCCGTGTATAGCACGCGCAGGTCAAGTTTGTTTCAAATATTCGATAACTATTCGCATTTAATTGTTATCGAATAAAAACATTATTGAAATGCAGTAAATAAATTATATCTGGAACATCTTAACAGCTAGAGCCTCCAAATTTTGTATTTAGTCTTATGTATATTGGATTTTGGATGCCGGCTCCAAATTCCCCCAAATTCTTAAAATTTAAATGTAGTTGGAACTAGGGCCATTATGTGAAGGCGTTTGCATCTCAACTAAGCCAATAGGATATGTAGATCATATGCTGAAAATTTCATTAAAATCCATTAAGTAAAACAGAAGTTATTAAAGAAAACGTTTGGCCAAATTGCAAAAGCACATGTCAGCAGCGCCACGCGCACGGATTTTTCCTATGCATGTGCACACATACATTCAAATGCGTGTATTCTTTTCTATTCCAAGAATTGAAATTGCGATTGAATTGTGCTGAATATTAGCTGCTACTTATGTTCAAATTTGCAGCAGCTCGTGTAAGAAGGGCAGTGGCTGCGTTGGTGGAGGCGCCGCTCGCATGTAGCTTGGTCCGGGTTCGAGACCAGTGGGAGATGAAATGTTTTTTATTGTTTTATTTTTTTTTTAGTTATGAAGTGGCGGTGTTGGTAGAGTTTGTGCACGTTGCGCAAATAATCCGGGTTCGAATCCTGGTCTCGCAATGTCGATTTTTATTTGTTTTCTTCTTTTTTTTAATACTCGATGCAAACTACGGAAAATATTAAAAAAAAAACTCAAAGGACTGGGATCAGGGTATCTCCTAGTCGGGCACCCCGACTAGAGCTTTCTTACTTGTTTTGTAAGGATTGGCTTTTTAATGCCATTATAAAATATTTGAGATTTCTTCGTTCAGCACACATCTTTTAAGTATATCTATATATATATATATATATATATATTATAGATGTTATATATATTTTATATATATATTTTAATGGTTGTAATTGTTGATGCAGCTATTCTATGCAATCCCTTTTTCTGAGCTCTATTTCTATGGCGTATTGTATATATCCTATTCACAGCATAAAGTAGGGTGTATTGGCTTGTCCTGCTCTCGATTTAAATAATGCGAATGCTTTCACAGTTTAACTGTGGAACTGCATAGTTATACGCCTTATCATAATACTTTTCAACTAGAGTGGAAAAAAATAAATTATTTTCGTCACAAATTAACAGAGTATTGGACAGTACGCCACAGTCGACTAGCACGTGGTTACTTGTGATTTATCCAATTAATCTTATTTACTAATGTATATTCACACTTTAAAGAGAACGAGCGTAAACTAGTTGTTTAGAACAGTGTATATGGTTTTACAAATAACTAACCCGACAGCTTGCAAATTGAGTAGCAGAGACAGCTGTTGGCATAACCCACTCAACACGCACAGCGAAACCAAGCGAGTGCAAGAAAAGGCGCATCGAAACGAAAAGTTGAAAGAAAAAACTGTTGTGTTCAATGTCAAGCACAAAAAAAAAAATAAAATAAAAGGAATGCATCGACAATTTCAGTGTCATTGTGTTCGCCGCCTTAATACATATACACACATAGATAACTACTTATTCGTATATTATTCGTAATTGTACGTATTTAGACTTAAAGATTTAAAGTCTGTTACATCTGTGGACTCATTGTTTGATTAATTACAGCTGTACTATATGTGAATGTTATATACTTATATGTTGACAGATTTGTACCCATGTTAATCAAAATTGTATTAAGAATAGTGAAAATATCTTGTACTTCTATATTTTATATATTTTAATTAAGCTTAAGAAAGCTTATTGCTAAGTTTGGCTTAACCTATCATTATTTTTTAAATCAGCATCCCCTTCTATACGCTATAAACGAAATAGCATGTCTAGAAACGTGGTATATTGTTTGCGAATATTTATGCATTTGTGTATCTATATATATACTACATTCATTTAAATCTTTGTATATATACATGCACAAATACGCTGTCTTTGCAACGTGCTGGCTGTGATGCCAAATTGACTACTTTCCCGCCAGTTCCGGCGTTTTACAAACATAGAACGCATGAAAAATTGAGATATAGTAGCTAGCCGGAATTATAGGTATATTAAATTAATTTGTATTACTAACAATAGCACAATAACAATAACAATTATACCGAAAAATGCCAAATTTGCATGATTTTTAATCAATAGTTTTCAAACATCTATGTAGCTCGACCATCTCGAGTCATAATGTCTCATCTCAAGTAAAATATTTTAAACAACGTTGCCGGTAATAATAAGGTGCCGGTAATAATAAAGTATCCGAAATGCTTAGAATCCAGTCTTGTAATGCAAAGGGAAAATAAACTTTTATTGAACTGGACAATTATGCATTACTTGCTTAGTATTAAAAATCATCTTAAAATCAAAACATGCAAAATTTTAATATTTTTATTGGTATTTGTGGGAAACGCAAGACGCGTTGATGAGCATCAAATATACTTTTTCACACACACGGTCCCTTGTTCACATGTATGAGCATTTATGTGTCTGTATGTCTGTACAGTTAGAAATTCCTACTATAGAGAAAGGCGACAAACCATTCGCGTGATATATATACACGTGTACACACACAGTCGTATACGGATGTATATGCCAATACATTGTACATAAGTTCATTTACTTATACATATGTGCATACATTCTAAAATGTGCAAAACAATTCGGATGGCACTTGAAAATGCTTTTGCGCCACTTTATTGTTGTATTGTATACATGTACAAATATGTAACACTTATACGATATTAAATTAATATTAAATAAACTCACCATGCTCGTATGGCGAAAATGTGCCTGCGTCGATATTAATGTATGGATCAATTTTAATAGAAGTGACATCTAGGTTGCAGGACTTAAGGAGTGTCCCAAAAGAAGACGCAATGACACCCTTGCCAACTCCACTTATAACACCTCCGGTGACCAAAATGTATTTCATTTTGTTTAAAACCACCTATTTTATTTTAAAATCCCGCGTGACTGACCACGTTTTTTATTTACTTTATACGCAATTAAAAATTCATTTACTTGAGCAATGCTCAACAGTTTCCGATAGTTTGTCACTTTTAGTTTCTTATTGATAACTGATCACGTCTAGTTGACACACGTAAATGTAAATATTATTTTACATATTTAGTTATACTTTTTAACAATAACGCTCTACTTTATCTTCCCTTCTGCCACATGTGTAAGCAATCACAACATCGATAATGTATGAAATCGATATAGACTATCGAATATCAAATGGAAATAGTTAAAATCCTAGCGATGTAACTTACTTACTATCGATTGCGTTCAATGTACATTTGGCGCATTATTTTTGTATTTCACTATTTTTCAAGCACTCAAAAAACAATTGAAGACTAAAATCTAGAGATCCCTGATTTATAACTAGATTCATGTGATTAATCGACAAGAATAAATATTTCTGATTTTAGATACTTCCAGATTTCAATAACGTGGCTTTTCCTTTAAATAGTAGGTTCTTGGGTGTTTTTTAATTTCTGAATATTGCAAAAAAAATTATTCAATAACAAATTTGCCGACAAGCGGCTGTAGTTCAGCCGTTTGTTTAGTAACAACATCAATGCCTGTGCGTTTCCTGTCTGCCTTATATGTTTGAGTGTGCATGTGCTTTTCAGGTTATTTTTTAATCGGCCATTCCCGCTAGCAGATACATACTTCGTTTTCAGATCCAGGTAGATTATAATCTGTGTGGCAAATAAAACAGAACAGACAAAAGCTGTTGTAGGATACCTAATGACATTCTAGAAACTTTCATTTGATTTCAAAATACGTACGATATTACTATTTAAGTATTACATGAACATTTAAATTCTATCGAAATCATTTGCACTTGGCAAAATGAATTGTCGAATTAATAATGAAACGCATATGCTAAAGCATTCTTTATTATTTATATTTAAGAATTTTCCAAAACAAGCATTTTAAATGCATTTATAAATACACGATCGTATTACATTTATAGCGTACAAAGCAATTGTTGGTTTAAAATATGGTTCATTTCGTAGCTTCCTGCTGCTCAAAGATTGGGTATTGCTCTAAGACCTGGGCCCAGGTGAGCTTTGTCGTTGCCAAATCTTTGACTACACCGACAACAACATCGAGCCCAATGCGAACCTGTTTCATGGTGTTTCGGTCACGTAACGTCACTGTGTGAGGCTCCTTTAAGGTATCGAAGTCCACAGTGATGCCATAGGGAATGGCAATCTCGTCTGTTCGTGCATAGCGACGTCCTATGGAGCCACTTGAATCGTCCACTTTGTGCGACAGTTCCGCTTTCGTCAACAAGGTGGACAGCTGTTGAGTGTACGGCTGGAACTCGGCGTTGTTCGAAAGAGGCAATATGGAGCACTTGTAGGGTGCTACAAGAGGAGGCAATGTGAAGTAGCAGCGCTGCTCATCACCCTCACGGCATTGAAAACTATGCTCGAGCAGGGCATACATGATGCGCCCTATGCCAAAAGATGGCTCTACCACGCTTGGTATGAACTCCTCGACGTGTACTGTTTTGGTGGCATGCTTCACAGTGATGCTTTCTGCACCGAGCTCGTGAGTGGCGCCATCAGAGAGGGTCAGCTTATACAGGCCACCGGCCGATAGCTGTGTCTCTACCTGCTTAATATCATCCAGCGACAACTTGGCCAGCGCATCCGTTATGGACTTGGCTTCCTTTTTGAATGCTTTGCCCAGCGCCTGCTTGTTGGGCACAATCTCACTTACTTCCACGGTCTTTGGAGCTGGCAAACGCTTCTCGGCCACTAGACGTACGCCGGTGGCAGCTGTGTGCTGGCTCAGATCGTAAGCTGATCGATCGGCACAGCCAACGCACTCCACCCAGCCATATGAGGTGAGAATCTCTGCGTCCCAACAATCGCAGGCATAGTGCGCCATTTCATTACCCATGTGCTGACGGAAGCGCAAGCACTCAGGCTTGATACCAATCGCATGAAGGAACTGCTGAATCCGAGCCATATAGTAGCCCAATGTCTCGTTGGCCACCAGTTTGCTGGCTACGGCCTCGCCAATGGTTGATGGCTGTGCTGATTTTCCATCCATCTGGTTGCAAGCTGAATATAGTGTTAGCTTCTCGTTGGCCACCCGGCTAAATTTGGGATGATCCTTTTGCACAGGATCACAGAAGTGCTCAATCTCTGCCATGGTGAACTCACGTACCCGTATCAGACCAGATCGCGGCGAAATCTCATTGCGGAAAGAGTTTCCGATTTGGGCCACAGCAAAGGGAAGCTTTCCTTGGTTAAACTCCAGGAGACGCTTGAAGTTTACAAATATGCCTTGGGCGGTCTCTGGGCGCAAGAATCCTTTCACCAGACCAGTGGGTCCAATTTGAGTTGCAAACATTAGATTGAATTCAATCGGTTCTGTCAGATCGTTGCCAGTCAATGGTGACTTTATATTGTATTTAGCTAACACATCCGCGAGCTCCTGTTTGTTTAGGCCATCCAGCTTAATAATGATGTCCTCACATTCAGCCCGTAGCGCTGGGGTTGCATCCTTCGCTGTGCATAATTTTTCGAGTGCTTGTTTGATTAGATGGTCCAGTCGGAAGCACTCGCCGGTCTTGACGTCTTTCACCATCAGATCGGCAAATCGTTCCACATGACCTGACGCCTTGAGGACTGGCTCGGGTGTCAATATGGAGCAGTCCACTTCTAGCATTTGCTCCTCCAAACTAAAGAACTGCCGCCACAAAGCTAATATGTTGGACTTAAGCGCACAACCCATTGGTCCAAAGTCGTATTGGCCGGTGATGCCGCCGTATATGGCAAAGGATTGGTCGTAGAAGAAGCGTCGCTTCAAGAGATCCTCCATTTTCGCGCGATCAAAGCTGACTACGCTTGGCGTTAGCGCCAATTCCTTTTCTTCGAGAACTTTCTTACGAACCTTTAGCTCGGCCACGGCCTTCTTAACATCCAATTCGGGTGCTCCCTTTGCCTTTAGTTCGCGGACCAAGTTGCCTTGCTCCTGCACTCGCTCCCGTAGAGGTGCCAGCTGCGTTTCTATCTCAGGATTCGACATGATAAAATCTGTTGCTGCTCGTAATTGAACACTTCGCTTCTGTTTCTTGCTGCCCCACGACTGTACTGAGTAGTTGGAGGAACTAGTGCAAAAAAATGCCTTTACTTGTGCTTTGTTGGCAAAGGTCTCTCGCTCACTCTTGCTTTCACGCCAGTTCCACGTTTTTACGCACGGTCTGCTTCGTTGAAAATTGGATAAAACTCCACTGGCGCTGCGCAAGTATGTGTGCGCTTTTAAAAACTGTAATGACATATGTTATTTTTTATGCGCTCAACACATGAATTTATATAATTTTTATTCACGGTTTTGAAATTATTTTATACCTTCAGGTGCCTCTCGGGTGATTCACAATAGAAATGATTGTGATGTGCAACACTGCAACAAAAAGATGCTCAAGACCGGTTGTTTGCAACGTGTGTGAGCCACAAGAATGACGTGAATTTCTTCATACCATTTAGTTTTTTATTAGCTCTGCATTGAATGTTATTATTTTTAATAGCAACATTCATTTAATAATACAGTATTTTAGCACTTTTTGTAACACTTTTACGGGTTTTAATCGATAAGTGCTGTGTGCAGCTGTTGGCATATCGATATATCGATAAGCAATCTACAATTCATTTTGTTTTTTACCACTCGGAAGCATTTTTCTTTCATGTTTATTTTTTAAGGTATAATTTTGCGGAATTCGATTTTTTAAAACAAAATAAGCAAGGTTTAAATTTAATTTCATTTACATTGCCGGAAAGTATTTAATATTTAGCCGACCTTCGAGTTACTCAGTTTGCAGCGTTTGTGATCAATGAATGGTGACGACGCCACCGCATTTCTTCGTAGCATAAAAACAAAAGAAGGGCAGCATTCCTTGCAACACAGAGTTCTTCTGAGGTAACTGTTATTTAGTTTTTACGTCAATTTATATTGTTGGCTTTGATGTAATGTGTGTTCTTATTGCAGACAGACGTTTTGTTTGTTTGATAAACAGCATCAAATTAGGCCAAACCAACTGCAGCGCATAGGTGAGTGCACACACATACAAATACATACATACATACATACATATGAACGCTTTGCATGTTATTTTTTGAATTGAATTGTTTTTGGCTTTTTAATTGTATGAAATAATATCAAATGAAGTTCTTGTCAAATACGCTTAACGTTCGCCTTGTCGTCTTGTACAGTTGTCATTTCTTGCTTGAATAAGCCCCATTATTTCGAAATTAATGAGCCTTTCATATGCACATCAATATTACAATGTGCACAGGTGTTTAAAGTAACATTAGACTTTTTGACATACATACATTTGTACATACATACACATACACACATGTCTTCTGTGGTGGTTGTGGTGCTGCGGTGGTGTGGTGTGGTGTTAGCAGGCAGTTGTGCGTTCTACTCTCGTACAAAGTCTAATAAGCTAGTGCACGTCTCTAACAAACAAGCAAACGAAAACCCCCAGAAAAATCCATTGCTAACCCTCAACTAAAACCAAATATAAAAAGAGGCTTAAATCTGGCGAATCAATCATTGAAGACTGTTTATGTCTTTCTAGGATATATCATATGCACCGCTCACCGCAACCACTGCCAGTTCAAATAAACAAACATAAACAAAACTGCAAATGAAAGCAGAGCTCAACAGCAACAACAACCAGAACAAAAACAGCAACAACTGGCGATGCAATTAAAAGCGCCAAAGAGCAGGAATATGGCTAGTGTTAATGATGATGAACCAGCAACCAACAACCGGCGAAACAACAACAATAGCAACAGCAACAACAACAATAACAACATCAACAACAACAACAATAGTACGAGCAGCAATCCAAGCCCTAGCATCAATAACAATAACAATAATAATAACGAGGATGCGGCAAGCAAACGGGAGTCATTGGAGGCACGCAAGCAGAGCTTGGAGCAGCGCTTAAACGAGAAGAGCTGGCTGTTGCACCAAATACAAAAACAGGAGACAGCTATTATGCATGGCAATTACGAACACTTGACCATCAATGAATTCTTTGCCCAGCTAGCGCAGCAGTATAAACATGAACAACAATTGCAGGCACTGTCTAAGGACAGCGGCGCTTTGCTGCGACGTAAGCAGAGCACAAGTAACCGGATGGATGCTCAACCAGGTGGCAGTCAAACTTATAGTACTAACATCAACAACAATCGCCACTCGGAGACACATTCAAATCGCAGCTCAGAGTATGATAACTATCAGCCAGCTGGCTCAAATGGTGATATACTGGTCATAGGCGTTGCTCAGCAACAATTACAACAACATCCGCACGTAAAAAGTGCACTGAAGAAACGTCCTACACCCACGCCTACTGCTCAGATACAAATGCAATATATAGCACAACGCCAGCAGCAACAGCAACAACAACAACAACAACAACAACAACAACAACAACAACAACAACAAGTACCACAACAGATGCACCACCACATGGATGTATATTCGCAGCAGCATGTGAACTATCTGCAGCAGCAACAACAACAGCAGCAGCAGCCAAAGCAACGTGTCCAGGGTCAAAAGGATGTTATCTCAATGTACTCGGCTAACTCGTCTAATGTGGCCACGTTGCGCCAGCAACATGTGGCGCCGCAGCAACAACCCATTATCGTGCAGTGCGACAAGTATTATCTGTCGCCCACGCATCAGAGCTATAGTGAAGGCGGCTTCATTAAGTCGAGTCAAAACATAAAGAAGTATGTGTCGCCGCTCGCTTCGCCGAGTGCCGTTAGCTACGAGCAGAGCTCGTTGCATCATCATCGTCACCTTGATGCCATTTCCTTGGCGCCCAGCTACATGTCTGTTGAAGTGGAGACTGTGGAGAGGGTGCAGCAGCAGTATCGCTGGCGCTCACAATCCCATATAGCAGCATTGACACCGCCTCATCCACATCCGAATCAGAGCATGACTGCTGCCTTAGCTGCCGAGCCAAAGTCGCATTCCAGCGATATGTTAGCAGCGCCGCTGCCGCGCTATGCTAGCAAACCCAAGCCCTTGGATGAGATATCACTGTGCTCAACGTCTGCCAGTGCGACGACCATTGAAAAGAAGGCCAAGCCCAAGCAGTGGCTGGAATCATCGCTCGATGGGCCCGCAGTTGTGCGTCAAATCGAGTCCACATCGCACAGTCCCGTTAGCAGTAGTGGCAGTGGCGCCGCTGCCGCTGCCGCTGCTGTCACTAAGCCCCGGACAAAATTGTCCTCACAGTCCATGTCGGTGTCCGGTCGGCACTATTCCATGTCTGCTCAGCGCAATGCCAACAACTATGCTCCTAATAACTATCCGGTTGCTGGTAGCTCTAAGGCTCTGCAGCATGTGGATGAAAGATTTGCAAAGCTGAGTCAGTCCACTTCCTACCTGAATGCCATGGAGCAGACGGTGGGCATATCCGCATCTTATACACTGGAACCACTTGAAATACCGCCATTTAGGCATCTGCCGCCCAAGCCAAATCAAAATCAACCGCAATCGCCGCCGCCCAGGCCACCGCCAGTTGGCAACAGTAACAACAACAACAATAACAACAATAATAGTACCAACAGTGGAAATGCACTGCAGAATGCTCTGGTATCACCGCCCCTGGCTGTGGCCACGGCCACAGTAGCACCTAGTTTGTCCCCTGAGATTCGTATCGAATCACCCAAAAATATGACTGTGGTGCAGCAGGCCACCTTTCAGCCGTACAAGGAGGTGATCAAACCCTTCGAAATGTCCGATTTTTACAAATACTCGACGAAGTTTAAGCAGAAAGATGCCGGGCGACCGGAATGAGAAGAACTTAGCCCTGGAAGCCCTGGAAGTTTCAGTTATTTAATTAGGATATACTTATAGTTATTGTTATCATCTAAACATATTTGATATTTGTTTGACTGACCAAGCGCGAAGTACCAATAGGAATTTCAGACTTTCTCGCATTTTTAAGCGGTTAGCGCAAATTTTAAGAATTACAATTTTGACTGCAACGTAAACATTCGAATACTAATCGAAATGCTGAATATGATTGAGATGACTGCTACAAAATGGATGGAAAGGGTATCCATATTAAAACCCAATTGACAATATGAAACAAACAAAATTGTACATTGACTCAACATTTTTACTCTATATACTATATTTACTGAAATTGTATTTACAACGGAACTGGTTTGATATATTTATATAAATACTGATAGCAATTGTTACAAATTTATTATACAAAATTATTTGTATACTGACTTGAATATACAATAATCTTTATGTATACATATACATATAAGTTTGTTTTTTCTACATAGTAAACTCAATTTATCTAATATTAATTGGTCTTGACTGATTTTTCACAAAAAGTTATATATATGAAATATAATATTTGAATCAAAAAATCGAATTCAAATAAAGATCGAATTTAAAACTAAAAACAACTTTAAATATAGGCAGTTGGGAAGTGATACTTTCTTCATTCAACCTTCTTTGACTGTTTTGATTGAATGATTACATGTTTACGTAGTTTCAAGAGTATATTGGTATTATCCATTGCCCGGTTAGCGGTCCCTGTCAGTAGAGGCCAGCAGTGGGCATGTGGATGTGGCTATATATTAAGCAACTTTATCTTCAGCTGTCTTATATAGCTGATTGCATAATGAAATTGAAAAACAAATTAGACTATTCTAGTCGGGAGTGCTCGAGCAAGAGATACACTGAACCCTTTACTCCTTTTACTCGTTTTTTCTTCTTCTTTTAATCAATCGACAGCTGCACACAGAAGCAGTTTATGAAGCGGCTGCGTTTATGGGCTTCAGAGTTATTTGTTGTTTGTTTGTTAGGTACTTGATATGAGATATTTCCGTCATGCCCACTAGAGGCGTAGCAAATCGAATCAGACTATATAGTCTTTTGCACAGATTCTGTTATATTTTGAACACTAGAAACTTGAAATTTGGATTATATATTCGTGTAGACTTTTACAGCTTACAGTTAGAAGCCTACGGCTAGCTACCACGGCTGTTGATTTATCGTAAATTACATATATAAGCTAATTGAGGGCGTGACAAATGTAAAAAAAATGTAGCAGCTGGCAGTGCCTTGACCGCTTTCATAAAAAGTCTCAAATATTGGAAATTGGATTTTTTATTTTGCCAATTTGGGAAAAGAGGGAGACAGGGAGGTATCGATCCACACCGCCTTCTTCTGGATGCCACATACATTTTAAACGATACTCTTGATTTCAATATGAAACAATAATATTTTTATAAAAATCTTTTGAATATCGTTCAAATGTTTTACTGATTTCCCTAAGTGCTCTAAATTTCTAGTGGAAGTTCTTCAAAGATCCACGCGCATCTGGATAGTTTTAGTAAACTTAATAATAGATTTGACATTTATTGATGCTATAAAATATTTCTTAAGTATTCAATTTCATCGACTTTATAACTTAACTATCTCTTTAATTATCGAACACATACAGACTGTAAAATTGGATTTTGTATTCAGTTTGTACATATATATGAACGTATGTGGGCTGAGGTGTACGCACACATATGTTGTGTGAGTGCTTGTATATACGAAAGATACTTGGCTCTGGTTGAGTGAGCATTGTTTTGGGTTCGCCTCTCTTTCGAAACATCAAAAACCAAAAATAAAAGAATCATTCTCTTGGCATGGACCAGATCGGTTCAGTTGCATTGGATGCGCCGTGTTACGTGCTCCTGTGTTGATCGGCTGCACTTTGCTTTCGTGCACTTCTGGTGCTGGAGCACTTATTATTTCAGAGGAGCCGGAAGAGCCACGCGAATATGAACTAACGTATCGCGTCTTCAGTTGTCGTCGTCGTCGTCATCTTTGTCGTCTGTGTTCTAGCTTCATAGTTCAGTTGAAAGTCAATTGTCAAATCGCATCGTGTTCAACATTTTACGTAAATCTGTCTCCTACATAACCTCGCTGTGTTTAAAGTGCAGTGCAATAAACCAGAAATAGACAAACCGAACGCGGTACGCAATCGAGTCTATTTTATTTCAAAATCAAGCTCCAATAAGTACAAGAGCCGTAACCAGGCGGCCTCTACTTCACGATTCTCTAGTGGCAGAATAAATATCCAAAGCCGTCCAATTTCGGCGTCCAACTGTGGATTGTGATCATGAATGTGACCAAATAACTCAAACTCGGGCAATATGAATCTATATACCATATATGATTGGGTATGATCATTTAATAGTGCATGCGCCGCTAACTAACTCTGATATCAATTATTAACTAACTGTGAACCAAATCTTTAAAGGGCCAAACTAGAAACTGAGTGTAATGGGTTTGTGTGACTGTTTGTAACAGTCAGACGTGGGCGGCGCGGTCCCCATAAAGTATATATACTCTTGATCAGTCGATCTATTAAACACAAATCTCATTAAATACAAAACTATGATACTCGCAATTTAAAATATATTTCTTTATACCATATGCAGTACGAGCTTATTATTTATTTTGATAACTTATCCACTTATATATCAATATTACTATTATTTCATATGTATGTGTAAAAGAAGCGCAGAATGATTGCAATGTCAGCTCTTGGCAGGGTTCAGGGTATTTCCTAGTCGGTAACTCCCGAATAGAGATTTCTGCTTCCTTTCTGAACATTCTATTATTTTATATTATCTCTAGTATTGTTAAAAATTTTAAAAATTTAAATTTCATATACACATAGTCACATAAAAAACATATATTTTTCCATGATAATTTAAAAAAGATCGTAAATCTAGAGCCAAAGCTATTCCATTAAAATTGTTTTTCGGAACATATGCATATATATAAAAAAATTTCAGTAAAACTATAAGTGTAGTTGTTCCCAGATTAAATGTTTAAATGAGTTGAACCTCAAATATCATATGACCCACAATCTCTGGATAAGTCAAGTTTGATAACATTTGTTTAAACGTTGAAATAAGGGATAATATAAAAGGTTCGTAAATTCAAGTTTTGCTCAGAATAATTTAAATGATCTTTTAATAGCATATTGTAATTAAGCAATATGTTAGTAAAATGGGAAAACTAATAAACAGACTTGAAAATCTGACTTTCAAAAAGTTCTTTAATAATGCTCCAATAAATATATTTCGCTTTTTGATTTAAAAACTATTTGGCTGAGGAATATATCTGCTTAATGGAGCTGCTCTTTCGGAATTCACTGTAAATATTCTGGTGCTGGAGGATTCAGAAATTTGAAGATTGGTACTATAAAACTAAATAGATAATTAATTTAATTGATCTATAGCATTTTGATTAAAGGCAGTATCTGGATTCTTAGAAGTTGCTAAATGAACTCGACTAAAGAGAAACGTTCAACTACACTTTCTACACGTGCTTACAGAAATCGTAATAAACAATTGAACTCTTTGACCTTTCACTCCAAAAACTAAGCAGCTCAAGGCTCCCAAATAAACATTTGAATTTAGCGCGTTATCAACTGGCAGCTGCGTTACAGATAGCTGACAGCATGCGGTCTCTTTCCTTCTCGCTCTCGCTCTCGCTCTTGCTCTTGCTCTTGCTCTTGCTCTTGGCGTGGCTTGCCCGCCAACATGTTGCCCACAGAGAGACGACTTACGTTCCACATTTTTGTTTATAAATAAAAGAAATGGGAGCGCCTTTCGAACCGTTGCAAATTTTGTTGGCGCTCCCTCGTGTCTACCTTCTGTAGCTGGGCTCTCTGACTCTTGTGATTTCTTTGGATTGACTGCCTCTGTTAGAGTGCCTGATTTGAGTTGGGAATCGAGCGGACGCCGTCGTCGTAGTATTTTTATTTATAAAAGAACTTGCATTGCAGGCGGTCGTCGCAGTCGGTAGTTTGCGTCGTCGAACGTATCGAAAGATAAAAAGACGAGTGTACGCGAAGTTGTAATAAAACAAAACTGGATACATTGTATTTATATATAATAGCTGCAAAGTGACAATAAAGTTAAATTACATTCACTTGAACACTTCCAGCAATGCGACCATGAGTAAAATACATGTGAGTAGAGTTAGCTTGGAACCTTGCTGCTCTTAGCAGCTTATAGGAAAATCAGATCTGTTTATTGGGAGTGGAATAATATTATTATGTTTGTGCTGAAACCTCAACCAATATCCATTTGAGCCTAATGTGTGTCACGCCCCAATAGCTGATATTTAAAGCCGTCGCATTGACTACTGCAATTTGGCCCAATTTGGCCCGTCTCAAAATCGCGTAGGAGCAGGACAAAATTGGGTACGACACGCACGTATAAGAAAAAGAAAAGTTTTTATCGGGAACTAATGTAACCATGGTGATGACGAAACTGTTATCCCGATACGGTTAAGGGAGCCAAATTAATTTGCATAAAATTGACAAGTTCAAGGACGTCCAAGTTAACTTTTGCGGCAAGGAGCTTGCCGTTGTTAAAAGCTGTTGTAAAATTTGACCGAATGGGTCGCAGTTGGGAATTTTCAGACAGTTAGCAAAGCTATAAGAGCGACGATCTGAATTCATTTCGAATATTCCAATTGGATCTCCAGCAATAGAATTCATATTGCTGATTACCTCACCTACATCTATGAAGTGGACAGCGCTTTAATTAGTGCCCACATATGCCAATGCTTAAAAATAACTTTAATAAGGTGCAGGCGATAGGTCGTCGAGTTTATTACAAAATTTAGAAAACGCCTCAGATGTATGTTGATTCTAATTATAAAAGGGCGATCGGCAGCCAGGCGGGCAGGCAACCTGATGCGATGTGATGCGATGGCCACTGGCACAGCTGCAATCCATCAACTAGCGCCTGAGTCAGCCACACCAATTGGCATTTGCCATTTGCCAGGGCATAATATCCACTTGAGCTGAACGGCGTTTGGTGTCAGAGATGCAGGTCAATTGGCTGAGTGACTATTGCCTAATCAATGTTTTCAAGAACTGATCATTCTTTCTTATTGTGTGCATTAGACTAAAAATCGTTTCGTAGTCCCATAATCCCAGCAAAGCGTCTGCCGTTGTTGTGTTCTGAAATGAGGTGACATCTTTACGAAAATGAAAATGAAAATGAAAATGAAAACGAAAATCGAAATGAGTTTATTGTGCCGTCGGACCAAAAATGTCACTGGCAACTGGGCCAAGAAGAAATCTGTGAATTAAGCGATTTTACGTATACATAGATATATTTATATACATATTTAATTTTGTTTAGTATTGTAAATGTAGTACGAGTAAACAAATGTCTTCATTACAGATCACATCGCTGCTCCGCACGGGCAGCGGCAGCGCCTTCTACAAGGCAATCGAGGCACCGGAGCAGGCAGCGGCACCATCCACAGCTATCAATCTACAACAACAATCACATATACAGCCGGCAGCCAATTGCAACTACGCCGTACAGAATGTGGATGTTGAGTTTATACCGACATTGAATTTTTTGTTTCAAGCTTCAACCTCAGCCAGCAACAAGCCACCAGGCAGAGAACAAAAGCACGGGCGTCAGCAACATGTTGCTTCGGATTGTTCCGGCGGAAAATCTGAGGATGATAATGAATCGACGCATACATATATAATCTCCAGAAGCAGCTTTACGGAAATCACGAGCTCAAGCAGCACACCTTACGCGGTCACATCTACAGACACTGCCGAACTACTGAGGCAGCAAAACAATCTAAGTCTTACCGAGGACGACCAGACGGTTTCTTCATTCAGTATTGAACCGCCTACGAGTTCCATGTCTATTGAAATGGCCGATCAACAGAGGTGCGCCACGACAACGACAACGACGACAGCGACAACAGCAAAAAGCTCTGCAACAAATAGCGGCTTGATGGCTCTAAGAGGAGCCACACAAACCACCGCCACAACTACAACTAGCAGCAGCATAGAAGAAGATATTGAGGAAGCGATTGAGATTAGCGAGGTAGAAGAACAATTACATTCGAACATCGAGTCGCTGTCCGAGGTATCTGAAAAGAACCCAGCAAAGCTTAAGCAGCCAACATCACAGCAGACTTCGAAGTCTGAAAGTAGCGAAGAAGCTGCACAGTTCCGCATTGATGATGTTCAACTGTCTGGTGGCCAATTGGCCCAGCATTTTCTGGCCGATGAAGAAAGTGATGACGATGATCATCATGAACCACCAAATAGTCACAAGGATCAAGCAACAGCGACCGACGAGGACCATGACGATGATGATGACGGTGACGATGACGATGACTTTGATATTAGCCTCCCACTGGATGGGCGTAAGCCATTGCACTCCCGTCATGAAGATCTTGTAGACCAGTCTCTCCATAGACACGATGAGGGCGAAAGTCTTAGCAATCAAAGCACCACAGATGATGTGTCTGATTTCGTAGATGAGCTGCATCAGACCACGGAATCGGCAATGGAACCCCAAAATGCACAATCGGGTAGTATTGCAGCTAGTACAATGGCATCGGTCCTTTCGGAGGCAGCCGAACCCGAGTCAAAGCTGATGGAGAGTGAATTAGAAATAGACGTTGACCCACGCAGCGAGCAGGATCATTCTATGGAAGAAATTGTTGCTACCAATGAGTCCATAGAAATATCCTACAATGCAGAAGAGGGACCCCCTACCAACTCGCTGTTAAGTTCGCCGCAGAAATTAAAAGTTTCAGATATGGCAGAGCCAGCAGAAACACATTCTGTGAAACAATTAAAGCTACCAGAAATGCAGAAACCTCAAGTAGTCGACCACAAAACTGAAAATGTTAGGGAAACACTTCGTCTACAACCAGAGCCACTAGATAAGACTATTCTGGACTTTGAGGACGATGACGATGAGGATGATGAATGCTCTATGAAACTATTAAAGCTGCGCTTAATGGCCATGAATCAACAGACCCAATTGGATACCGGTGCCAAAGGCTCACCTACGGAGTCACCAGTAACACAAGAAGCTGGAAATATGGAGCTTAAGCAAATGGAACGCGTTCCGCTGACGGAGTTCAGCAAAGACGTACTGGAGGATATTACAGAAGAGAGTGAACGCCTTTTATCAATGAGTACCGTGGCTGAAGATCCGAAATCTCTGTCCATGGAAGAGTCAAAAACCTTACAAGAAAGCAAGGTCGGAAGTAATTCAAGTTTGGTGAGCTTAAACATGCTGAAACAGCCGGAGACCAAGGCTCAGGATCCACACTCACAGCTGGCTTCACTGAATCTGCAACTCGAAGCTGCTTGTCACGAGTCCAGCGCGGGCCCGGCATCTGCGAGGGACAGCAGCTCATTAGTGACTAACTCCACAGAGTATCGCACCTTCATAGAGGAGTTTGGTGCGCCGGTAAGAAATTATAACGTCTTAGCTGTCAGCTCAACTAATTACGTTTAATCCTTATCCATAGACACTCGACATCTATGTGGAATTAAAGCGTCGCGACGACATAATTGCAAAGCTCACGAACTCACTGCAGCATTCGTTAAACGTACGTGGCCAACTACAATCGGACTCTGAGAGGTTGGGGGACGAGGTGCAATCGTTACGCAAACAGCTTCACGAGGCCATCGATGCAGTCAAGCGTGTCGGAGGCTGGCCTGATCAACAGGTCAATATTGGACAGCGCATCTCTGAGATATCCATGGACCTGATTAGCGAAAGTGACGACGATCTGGAACGCAACTTTCTTACCGACCATGAAGGGGATCGGGTATCTCGCAGCTCACGTGAGCGTCAACTTTCGGTACCGACTGACGACTTGGGCGTGGAACCTTTACCTCCCGAATGGCCGCCCGCTTTCAGCAAACAAATCGAACAGTTCCAAAAATGTTTACTGCCTGGCGAGCTGCGCCCGTTTCTATTGGTGCAACGTAAGTTTGACGACTATCTGTCGCAGAAGCTGGCGGAGTGCCGGGACCAGTGTGCGCAAGAGCTCAAGATCAGTCGAGATCAATGGGAGAGTGAGAAATTGGCTAACGAGCAGGCGCAGCATGTGGCACATACTAAGCAAATGGAGGAGCTACGCAAATACTTTGAACATCGGTGCGCCGATCTAGAGAAACAGTTTTCCGACGACGTTATCTCGCATAGGTCTCAGCATCAGGCCGGGGACAGTTCCTCCGAGTGCTCGGAGGTTGATCAACTGCCGGACGAGATGGCTTCAAAGGATTCATCTCCACGCAAGCGCAAGCGCGCTGAACTGCTTCTCAGTCCCAGCCATCGTCAAATAACACCCAGTGGCATTGATTCCAAGGAAACTAAAGAGAATGTGAGTAAGCAGTCAGTAAAAGGCAGAAAGGCAGAACATATTTATGTTGTAAATGCATTTTAGATTTCGCAGGAAATGGCGGATCTTAAAATATTCTATCAATCACATATTGATGAACTAAAGCGGTCCCATAAAGAAAAGATTTGCAAACTGACGGAACGTTTAAAATTCTACGAGCGACACCAATCAGAGGATGATTATTTGGTAAGTTGTCTAGGAATATACTGCACGTCCGAATACATATAAATAACAAAAATGTTGTATGTGTTCGAATAACCCATGTTTTGATTACCTGATCAATTGCTAACTGCATGTTTCGTCATGATCGCTTACTTTTATAACCCAATAAACAATTTACTACCTGACAACTGCCGCAATAACTAATCTGCACAGCCCACACAATGCAAATCGCCTACTACCTGCCAAAAAGTTCATCAAGATATATTGGAGGTCGAGCCAGCTGCTGCACAGAATGCGAGCAATTCTCTAATTATCATTGATGAGGATGAGTTGAACTTGAACAACGAATCACAGGTGATTCAACGCATCATCGAGGAGTATGAGCGACGCCTGCAGGAGCAGTTGACGCTGGCTCGCCAAGACATTGCCACCGAGCTCGAAAAACAGATACAGGTAAGGTATGGGCGAATGCATGCATGCATGGAACGCTCTTTGATCATTTTACTTCCTTAAATATATTCTGCATGCTGTGTGATTCACCAAGCTTCGTCTGTAATTCTCAAAACTAAAATTGTTTCTCAATGGAAATTTCGGCCTACCTCTCCGTTCGCTGCTTCTGCGACGCATACCGCACGCAAAATCTACAAAATGTTGTCAGGACGCCAATAACGAAAAAGCATGCGAGCGTGCTCTAGTTATGAGTAGCCGACTCGTACATACCCATTGCTGTGCCTCAGTTGTAAACGTAGCTTAATATATTAGGTTCTTTTTTACAAAAGGGAAAATATGCTGCATTCTGAGTGTTCAGTTCTTTTGTTCTTTGACCGTACGATGAAATGAAGTAACCGAGAATCAATTTCAATTTTATCGAATGTTGCTGACTGACTTGAAGTTGGGTACATAGTAAAGGAAGGATTTTACCCAAATTTTTGGTGACATTAGTCACAATTTCATTTGTCACTAAGATATGTTAAATTTACTACCCTAAAGACCCCTTTTACTCAATTGATGTTAGATTATATATGTGAAGATCATTCGCAGTTAGCTGACACAAATTAGGTATTGGAACATGAATTTTCCCGATTTCCTTCACTCTTCATTCAATTGGCATGCCATTAAAGTAAATATGTTCTTGAAGTATCTATTTTTAATACCAATGTCAACAAATCCAGTCGAATGCGAACATCTGTCCCTTCCCTGCGGTTGCTTCCAGGCTCTACTATCAACACATGCAAAAAGCTGATGAACGTGAAATAATTGATAAAAACAATTGTATAATAAACAAGTTTTTCATTTTAAAAGTAAGTCGATAATGCACTACAACTAAATCTGTGTCACAATTGGGCATGTTCTCAAAAATATATTTTCTTCTAGATTGAGCACATACATACATAAGTACATCATGCGTATGCATGCATGCAAATGTGGTCTTTGTTTGTTTGTCAACAGAATTTAGCAGACGTTTATTCTTCATTTTTTGGCTGTAAGATATACGTATATGTATATATATATATGCTGCCTTGTATCGTTGTTCGAGTACTCAGCATTTGTTGATACATACAAATTTATAGCAGAGACCAAACTCATAAATAAAAGTGGAGAATACATCCATTTCATCCAATAAAGTCCGGCCGGAAGTACTGAGGGTGGACCGGCTTAGAGTTAATTAACTCCGTTGAGTTGGTATATTTGAAAGTGTGGAAAACATGTAAAATTACATGCATATGTCACACACACAAGCACACTTATCATTATATAATTCGCGTAAAACTGAGTGAAATAATATTGAGGCTGTTCAAAATTAACGAACATAAATTTATATTAATGCAGCACAAATACAAATGCAAGCACATAAGAGGGAAAGCAAGCAGAACACCGCGCACTGCTTTGTTGACATATGCTCTCTCTCGCTGGCTTTCTCTCTCACTCTCTTTTTACTCCCTCTCGATCATGCCGAAGCATCGTCGGTGACGATCTTTAATAAATAGCCTGTTGCTTGAGTCGCCTGCTCAGTCTTTTCCGTTACTTCAAGGCGGACGTGTGTGTTTCGTCGGTTGGTATACAAGGTGCCGAATTATAAATATATAACCAATACATATATGAACATACACAAGCATATATTCAAACAGTAGTGCTCATATTTATGCATACACGCGTGTCTATAAGTGAATTAACATAAAAACATGTGCGTTCAAGAGATGATGAAGTATTTTGAATAAGTAAATTTGAAAAAAAAAAAACGTTAAATCAACAGAAGCGCAAAAACATATACATACGCAACACATGTATATATGCATGTATGAACAAATTGAGTTGTTATTGTGATCAAGTGCTATACATCTGAATTAGTGTGCGTAAAGTCTACAAATAAATATACACACATGCATATACATAGGAACATGCAAACACTCATTAATTAAATCTTATGTGTGTGCGAACTCACCCAAATCAGTTACGATTCAAATTTAACGCCTTTATGGTTGGCGTCTTTCTAAAAAAATAGTAGCATACATACATGCACACAGGAAGATTTTTTGGATTGGAGAGAGCTTAAAAAAAGTAAGAATATTTTAAAACGAGTTTAATTTAAGAACGTTGCTACCACTATTGCTAGCCCACTGAAAGGGACTGGAAGCGTGGCCACTCGAAAATTATAGTACTTACAAATCGTATTATTCCATGTTCTAGATTGCAGCACCGAATTGAGTAGAGTCATCTCTGCTCACTTCCTATATCGATCAGCTCTGGGGACATGATAATTCCGTAATTTGTATGTCTCCCAGTTTAAGAGACATATAGAGACCATATTTCTAAAATTGGCCATCTTTAAAATTGATTCCAATGCCCGCAGCCCCATCCAGCAAAACTCAGTCAACTCTATTCTGAGTTTAAGTGTAAATCTTTATCAGTAGGTGTATGCATTTACTTAGCCTATATATATGATTGCGCGTATTGTGACTGCCCACAAAATTCTTAGGAATAGGTTTAATCATACAAATCTCTGATACATACGCTGATAGATTGATATGTAAATACTTTGATGTTTTGACGTAAAACGAGTCGTTGCCCTTTTCCAAAAACCATAAACACTTTTTTCTGGCTGGTCGCAGTCGTGGCATGAGATGTTATTTTTGTGTAAGGCGCAAATATTTTGGTTGCTTTGGTTGGTTTGGTTGGTGCCTATTTTGGAAACTTGTTCTATTTTTAATACGACACTCGGCTCGGATACTCATTCCTAATTTTCCAATGTGCATTGAAATCTTTCTCTTTGGGAAACGGAATGCATTCGTGCTAACCCAACCCTCTAATGCTGATACTGATACTGATATCGATTTTTATATTAACCAAAATTTCTAATTGATTTTTAATTGAAATGGTTGGACGCCCATCAAATTAAGCAATTTGTGAGTCGATTGGGATTGGGCCCGGCTGGTCTCCTCTATATAAAGCCAACTAATCGGGTTTGCCAATCAAAGTAAACCGAACAACGGTCATGGGCTTAGACAATATAAAGGGTTCGCGAGTTTTGGTGCGAAATCTTAAGTTTTGCAGGCTGTGGCCCGATCCCAGGTCAACTCCAACCACGGCCACGTCTACGTCCGCACCATGGGGCAGATTTTTCCGATTGCTTCAGTCATTTGCTATACATTTCTTTGTGACCTTTACGTTCACGGCTATGATGTGGATGGAGGCCTTAAGCAGCGACGATTTCGAGCACTGCACAGATGTTCTTTTTATCACTCTGACGATGACGAGTCTGGTGGCCAAGATTTTCAACAACTGGCGTCATGCTAAAATTGCTCGCGATCTACTTGAGGAGTGGAGCGTCAGTCCGCAGTTTAAAGTTCGCTCTGGTGCGGAGCGTGAAATGTGGGAGCGGGAACAGCTTCGGTTTTCACGCGTCTCCCTCCTGTACAGTTTCTGCAGTTTGGGCGTGGTGCCATGCATCTTCATATCCTCGGCATACAACTATCCAAATGAATTGCCATTTTTGGTATGGGTTCCCTTCGACTGGCAGAGGCCTGGTACATTCTGGTCTTTATTCGCTTATCAACTATTTGCGGTGCCTTTTACTTGTCTATCCAACTTAACTTCGGACTTGCTTAACTGCTACCTAATGCTGTATGTTTCGCTCTGCCTTAAGATGCTGGGCATGCGCCTGGCTGCACTTGCTACAGCAGAGCAACGCGACTCGGAGCTTCAACTGCGTGTTCAGTTGTTGGAGCTTATTGCGCTTCATAGGCGCATCAAGGTGCAGGCCAACATGATTCAGACTTTCATCTCAAAGAGCACGCTTATTCAGATCTTACTGAGCGCCATAATATTGTGTCTCTCCATCTACCGATTGCAGATGGTAAGTGCATACTCTCCTGTCACGTCTCCTGTGACATTGTGTATCATAGAACCTAATTGTTGCTCGCTAGCTCAACGTATTCCAGGCACCGAGCATCTTTGTAGCTATGGCCCAGTATCTGTTCGCGATGACCATGCAAATCTTCTTGCCTAGTATTTATGGGAACGAAATTACCCATAACGCCGATCGGCTGCCAACTGCACTGTACAGTTGTAATTGGCCAGATATGTCCTGGCAAATGCGTCGTTTGATACTGTCTTTCATGATATACCTAAACCGTCCTATGGTACTTCGAGCCGGTGGCTTCTTTGAAGTGGGCCTTCCACTGTTCACCAAGGTACAAATAGCTTTCCTACATCAGATATTCGATCTATCCTTATTTTTTATTCTAGACCATGAACCAAGCTTACAGTCTCTTGGCCTTGCTCCTAAACGTAAACAGCAAATAAGAAGGAGCGGAGATAAATCTGCATGAAATTAATAATTCAAATAACTTTGTAGTTTCAACTAAACCAATAAAAGTAGATTGCGTTCTTTGTGTTTTTTAAATGTTTTAATATATATATATTACATAACATATAAAATAATATATAATAGTACGTTATGCGACTTTGACTGGAGTTCAATTTACTAGAGTAGGGTGTGTATGGAGTAAGGACTGCAATGCCCGACCGTCTGCCCTTGTCCTTGGCGGAGACTCGAGGGACCCGTCTCTAGCCATGTATTTTAGATAAGGACTCCACATTTTAATTACTTCTGCGTACTATGCAATGTGACTCTCACTTTTTCCCGCTCTTTCTTTCTCCCATTAAACCTTTTGAAGAGGTTATGCCGCTATATATATGTTGAATATTCAATATTCAATATTCAATACTAAATATTCAATATATATTCAAACATTTCTAAAAAGTTTTGCTCTTCAGAAAGTTTAGTTTGTTATATAGGGTATATGTTAAGTTGAAGAGATTAAAAATGCAAGAAAATCGAAATAAATAAACAAATTAATCAGAGTCTTAATACTCTAGAAATTATTAATCAGTAAGGAGCATAACCTCAGTGCCAGAGATAACGAATAGAGATTCTGATCGACTTGTAATTTAAATTATATGTATATATATTAAATACACATTTATGTAAGTAAAAGAAACCAGATTCGAACATTCCTTTGCCATAATTGTGATATGTTTATTAAGATTTATGTGGCACCCTTGCCCCTTCAACAATCAAACCGGCTTGTCGATGGCGTTAAACAATAAACAGCATCAGACACCCGCACAGTTTGTTTTCCTCTCCGATGTAGGATGTAAATAAAGAGTGAAAACTTTTACATGCAATTGAAAGGCATTTCTCTGCAGCGATCATGTAAATTGTTTGCTTTCATATGACTCTAATGAATAAATATTGGCAGACTATGCCAGCTATGATGTTTAGCCTTTACGTATATGCAATATGTCTGCAACTGTTCTTTGTTTACAATATTGATGTCCTCTATAAATTGGTTTTTTAGAGTTTGTTGTCGGAGTGCGCAGTCGACGATCAGCACTGGCCCAAGGAACTGATACTGTTGCGAGAGAAGTTTACGGCCAAGAGTCAATTGGAAATAACCCAGCTGAATATAAAACATGCCGAAGAGGTAAGTTACTGAAATTGGCCTTTGCAATGTCTCTTACAGCTGTAATCCTAATAGATGTCACGAATGAAACTGGAATATGAGAAACAGCTCAACCGCAGGAATAAGCGGCACTTGACGTTCGATGCGGGACGCAACTTGGAGCACATAATAAGCGAGCGAGATGGCTTACGGCAACTATCGAAAAGTTTCCGCAGCGTGCTCTGTCGCTTGGCCAAGTGTGTGGCAAACTGCGAGGGCGACCTCAGTGCCACGCTATCGGAGGAAATGCAACGCATACTAGTTCAGAGTCGCAGTCAGGAAGGTGGCGAGGATGTGGATCACACGTTGAGTAGCTCCTTGCTGCAGGGCTCGTTCAACAGCACGAAGCACTTGCGTCTGGTCCCAGATGTGCACAGTCTATTGGAAGTGGTTGAGGATCCATATCTTGTGCAATTTATAGACAGCAAAAACAACGATGATCAAAACGATTACTTTGATCTGGGGGACTGCCTTAAGCGTCTCAAATCAGAAGCCGCCTACCTGCTGCAGCTATCTGAGGATCTGGAGAGGCAGCGTGCCAATGAATCTGTGGAACGGCAGGACGAGCCAGAGAAACAGGAGCTAGAACTGTGCTGTGAAGCCGAGGATGGGCTAAAGACAACAGCCCCATTGCCGCCTACTAAACAACAGTTGCTCCATGAATTGCTGCGTACTAACTCGCTAAACGACCAGAATCTCGGCGTGGCACATCAGCGGAAGTCTAGCAATGGTGCACAGATGACCAAGACGCACAGTTCGCTGCCGATTGATTTGCAACAACAGTCGGGCAACGCTTCGGAACTGAGTTTTCAGCTAGTAGAGCTAAACAACCGATTGATCAAATCGGAAGCAGATCGACAGAATTTGCAGCAACAGCTGACGCACACCATCGACCGCAATGCGGAGCTAGGCCAGGAGCTACAGGCATTGCGCGATCAGTTGTCGCAGTTGAACTCGCTAAATCATACAGATTATGCCGAAGGTTACGGTCTTGGGGACATGAAGAGTGCGCAGATTCTGGATCAGTCGGCGGCCAGCTTCGTACAACTCCAAGAGAGGGCACGCCATTTGTTGACATCGCCCACTCAACAGCAGTCCCAGGAGCCGGGTAATACAACGGTTGTATTACTCCAGATGATAGAGGACTTCTGCCGCGAGGGTGATAAGGTGGTAGAATCCGGCAAGAAGGATCGCGAGGATCTTCAGTCACAGGTAAGCTATTCTTAAGATAATATCCCATATGTGCCATAAATATATCAATAGATATGTCGAGTGTCTAACGCATGATCAGTAGAAACTCGCTGAACGCGTCTAGAGTAAGCAAAGTATAAGTCTAGGTTCTATTACCTCCCATCCATGCTATACCACAACCATAGATCGATACCGCCGACAAGCAGCTGAAGGCGACCCGCCAGTTCCTGGAAGAACAGGCCGCTGAACGCGAACAGGAACGCGATGAGTTTCATCGTGAGATCGAACGGTTAAAAGTGCAGCTACGTGAAAAGGAAAAGGAACGCAGCTCTTTCGCCAATGCCTCTGAGGAGGTGAGTGCCCTGTCCTGTCAAGGGTCTTTCCGTCACATATATATATATACATATATATTTTATGCCTATGATTTGGAATTGGTTAAATGTTCATTTTTATTTATTTTCTGTTTGGTTTGATAATGGGTTTCTTCTTCTGGACTATTTGCTGATTTTATTTTGGTGTCTTTGTAATCTTACGAATCTAGTCTCTAGAGATCAGGTCACTTTCTACTTAATTGCACTGGTTCTTAACTACATTATTTCATATTATTATACACACACGTGCACACAAACTAATTTGTTTGCTTGACTTATTTTCGAATAGAAAACTTACTTTTATGCCATATTCAAAATACAACCTAATAATAAGCATTCGGCCACCCCCTGGTGTCATTTTGTATTTAATATCGAAGTCAAGGGCAGCACGATTGTCTGCTTTATGTATATTTCGTAAGCATGCGGTAATGTATTTATAGATACTACGGAAAATGATCATTTCTTTTCGAAATTGTTTACCTTGAATATCCCTGAATGCCTAACTCTAATTTAAGCCCTTAGCATGCACTAACATTAATAATAACAATCTAATATATTCCCAATGTACCTAAACAACAATAACTCTGCACCTGAAATCAATTGCACCACGAAAACAATTTAAGTTACGGCGAGTGAAGGAGGCGCATGTAAGTTGTTAACTAACTACAGTTACGTGTTACAACACGGAACGAGATCCACGCACCACATTTAGTTAGCTAGATACAAAAAAGATTTTCAGTTAGATCTGCAAATTAATGGAATGTCTGTGTGATCCCTTTTAATAGTACGCCATTCTGGAGACGCAACTTCGTGAGGTAAACCAGCAGCTGGGTGACTCCAATGGCAAACGGGATAAATTGGAGACGGAGCTGAAGGCGTCCATCGATAAGATCTTTGTGCTGCGCGAGATTATTTCGGAGCTGGAAACGCAGGTGCAGACTAAGGCGCTCAATGAGCAGGTGCTGGACGAGAAAGCCAAGCAGCTGGAGGATTATATACAAATACAATTGCGCTCTAACGATGCGCTCACGCAGGAGGTGCACAGTCTAAAGACTGACATAGGCGAGGGTTACCAGACGCGCATTCGCCAACTAGAGGACAAGCTACAGCAGGGGCTGCCCTCAGCCGAAGCAACCTTGGTATTTAATCAGATGGCCGAGCAACTGCTTCTGATTGAAACCACTCTGGATCAGAAAACCAAAACACTGGAATCCCTTCACAACTCCAACACAGCCTCCAATTCGTGCAGTCTTAGCGCCACAGAGGATGTGTCCGCCCACGGTTACAACAGGCAGCCAACGGACGCACACACAGCTGATGGTTCACCCAAACACTCACTGACAGTGGAGGGAGTGCAGCGCGTGGTCGAGAAACTGGATAAGCATACGCGGGTGGAGGAAGCCGCAATCAAGCGTATACGTGATCTGGAAATGCAAGTCAGCCAAATGCGTAGTGGATGTGTGGTGAGTACAGACAAACCTATAGAGCTTTTGTGGTGAATAATCGGTATAGGTTATTGTCTTCGCTTACACTTATTAAAAATATGTACCCAAGGTGTAATCATTTTCAATACATTTTCTGAGTTGTCATAGCGCGACCTAATCATTCAATTTCCATAAATTTGATAATTTGATATTAATGATTGTATGTATCATTGTATCATAGTTACCACAGTTTTCGAAGCACTGTGCTGTATTGTGAGTTTTTGTGGCTTATTAAATTCGGACAGTTCTAGATGGACTGTACTATAATTTCGTTTGAATGTGTGCTACTCTACCAATATAAATTTCTTTTAATAATCAGATATATGTTTAGTTCAGTGTTTTATATAGTTACCAAAGTTTTGAGGCACTGTACTTTAATGTGTACCTTTTGTGTACCTTTACACACAGTTTTAGATGCACTGTGCTATAATTCGGTTAAGCGGTGGTACAATCGAAAAGTTTTCGATGAGCCATGTTAATGGTTTTGTCATTACAGATTGGTTTTAGATGCACTGTGCTATAATTTCGGTTGAGTGCTATGGTAAAATCGAAAAGTTTTAGATGTGCCCTGCTAATGGTAACAGTTTGACGCATTGTAGAATCATTCCAAGAGCTTAAATTTGAATGCCAGCGTTCTTCAGCTCTCAGTTTGTCAGTTGCCAACAGAGTGTCTTCCGCTGCGTACATTGAGATAATTGAGTTCGGTTGACTAGTACAAAAATAAACACAATTTATTTAAAATTTTAAATTAATAAAAATGACAAATTGAAATGTTGTTGCGCTCAAAAGATGTGCCCAACTTCACCATGGTGCCGCCCATTCGAGTGAGTTTCTAAATCAGTTGGAATGCGTAGTCTGGTTTTTATACTTCCAAACCAGCGTAGACAAGTGGTGCACAATTGAAACTCAATTGGTACAAATACATAAACAAATTCATATGAATATGTATGTGACATATGTGGCTGTATATGTGAAATATAACGTTTAACAAGGTTAGCTAGGTACACAGGCAAATGCATATACACCTGATACAATTTCCTACCTATTTATAGGGAATGTTCGAAAAATGGAACAGGCTGATCCACATATTTTCCCAGTTTGTGCCATTTTTGTAGCACCTAAATGCTCACTGCTTCAAAATAAATCTTTCGAGGGCTCATTTGACACACCTCGGGTCTGCGGCTGTCAGTTGAGTATTCCCGGTTAACTATTCCTTCACTGTGTTTACATTATGCTGCAAGACAAGACAAGACAAGAGCCTCGTCGAAAGATGAGATGGCGCTCGTAGAGGACAGAGACGGTTTCAATAAACTTCTTTGTTGCCAGCAGTGGGTAGCCGCTTTAAATAATACAAATACAAATACAAATGCAAATAAAGACCCAGAGTAGAGTGGAGATGTGTATTTCAGCATCATTGTGCTGCATCATTTGAAAATTGTTCAATTTATCTTAATTGAAGTTGGCAAGGGTTGGGACGCGTAGATGAGATCAGTGGATCGGTCGTTGACTGCTGCTACCCAGCGTATGATTTAAAAAAGCTGACCTGATCTTTTGCATTTGCAGGAGTTGCAGCACGAGCGTGACTCGTTGCAGGGTCGCATTGATGAGCAGACACATCGTATTTCAACGCTGCAGAAGCGTCTGGAAGAGCAGCGACAGCGTGCCGAGGAGCTTCATCGCGCGGGCACGTCTGATCTCAATACACGTATTCACGAGCTTCAGAATGATGTACGCAATCTTAGCGAGCAGCTGTCCGCTCGCGATAAACAAATGGCCACAATGCAGCAGCAATTGCAGCGCAGCAAAGACGAGATAGTGCGCCTTGAAACCGACCTTGCAACGCGCCCACAGCCAGATCGCAGTCTAGTTGAACGTTTGGAAGCAGAGATGCTGCAGAAGGGCAACGAGTTGCAAAAGCTCAGGGAGACAATGCGCACGGAGATGATCAACCGCTTAGCATTGCCTGATCTAATGGAAACTATGCTGGCCGATAAGAACGACGAAATTGACCATTTGCAGGAGCAATTGCAGGCGAAAGAGCGTGAGTTACAGGCGGCCAAGGACCTCAGCCAGGCTTCCTCTCCAGCTGCTGGCAAACAGGATGCGAGTACTAAGCACAGCGCTCGAACACTTAGCGATATTGGCTCGATCACAGAGTTCCCTGAACCGGATGTCGACCGACGGGCAATGTGTCGCAGTCTCAATGCTCCACTTCAACTGCCTGAAGCTGCGGGCGGAGTCTTCCAGCAGACAATGGTGAGTGAAGTCTTAAGGGTTGTTGATTGTTTAATAACAATCGATTTCGTGCAGGATATTTCAAAGGTCGCTGCCGCGAATCTCACGTACAACCGCACAGACGACTTAACTGAATTTGTGGTGGCCCATCCCGTCAATACTTTTGAGCACCCGCACTACTTTCAGGATCAAAAGGCGACCGGCTTGACCACTGCAATCAGCGGGGACCTTACACCGGGCTTGGTGCCGCGACAAATTAATTTCTCGAATCTAACAGAGGACTCCAAGCTGAAGACGCCAAGCATGTTAATGCAGACACCTGAGCTGCCCAAGGCAATGCCGTCGCCAGAGCTGCAACAGCTGAAGCAGAAGCTTTCAGCCCTAGAAGAGGAGAAACATAAACAAAGAATCGAAATGGAGGAAAATATTTTACAGCTGCAAGAGCAACTCTCGCGTGAGAAGAACCAGGTGGAGAGGCAACAAAAGCTACTTCAGGACCACGAGGAAAGTGAGCAGAAATATAAGATTCGTGTAGACTCGCTCGAGAATAAGATTCTGGAGACTGCCGCCCAGGAGGCTGCTGATCGAGAGACTTTGCGAAAAGAGCTAAACTTAGTAGGCGCAGCGCATGCGCAATGCGAGCAACAATATAAGGCAGCGAGCGCGGCTCGAAAGCGAGAGGTTGAGAGTCTTAATGCAGAAATAAGAGATAAGACTGTGCGCAATCGCGAACTGGCTGACCGGCTGCAGTTGGCACAGCAGCAATGTGAGGAGCTACAGCTACAGGTGAACGCATTGGAGCGTAATCTGGAGCGACTAAGGAACAGCGAGCAGAGCTCCAAGCAGTATTCAGTTGATGAAATCGCCCAGCAAGTGGAAAAAGAGCTTAACTACTCTGCCCAACTGGACTCGAATATACTCAAAGCTATTGAAAGTGAAGAGGAAAATAATTTGGACAAGCTTCACCACCAAAAGGAAGTGCAGACTGATGCTGATCCTTCACCTGGGAATGGGAATGGCAACGGACACGGCACCGACGACGAGAACTTTACTGGTGAACGTGATCTGCTAAACCAACTAGAGGCCGCTAGAGCTCAACTAACCGTAGAGCGGGAACAAACTGAGACGTTGAGCAAAGAGCTGCTTGTTGAGAAGCAGCATTCACAGGAAATCCAGGAACAGGATGTCCTCATCATCGAGGCAATGCGCAAGCGCCTAGAAGCTGTACTGGAGGCTGAAGATGAGCTACACAAGCAATTGGACATGGAGCGTGAGCGTTGCGATAGGTTACAAACGCAGCTTACTTCGCTGCAGCGTGCAGAGAGCCGGCGAAGCAGCGTACTCTTGAAGTCGCCCACAGACTCGCCCCGCAAATCTCCTCGGGCTGATTTCGAGTCTGAGCTGTGCGACAGATTGCGCAGTGAACTGAAACTGCTGACTGCCCAAAATGAGCGGGAAAGAGAACGATCGGCGGATGCTCAACGCAGCAGCGAGCGGGAGCGTCAACGGTACGAAAAAGAGCTCCAGGAGCGTGTCTCATATTGTGAGCGTCTTAAGCAGGAGATGGAGAAGTTGGCTCGCGACAAGGAATCGGCCGAAATGGAGCTGGAGCATTTCAACGAACGCTTGACTATGCAAGCCAACGAAATTGAGAGCTTGGAGGCGCGTATGGTTACGCTACAAGAATCAGAGACGCGTCGCGCCAACACGCGAGCTCGCCACCATCAAGAGGAGGCCAAACTGCAGGCTGAAATTCACGAGTTAAAAGCAAAGCTGTTGACTGCTGAGTCCGAAAAGAACAATCTGGAGCTCAAGGTTAACCAACTGCGCTTCGATGTGGCCCGCTCAGCACAGCGGGAGTCCAAGTTATCGGAAGCTCTGGCGCAGGCCAACGAACGCTTGGTCCATAGCATAGAGGATACAGTGCCCGCACAATTCCTGCAAAAAATGAAGGAAATCAACACATTGCTGGCGGAGAACACCCAGGAGAATAAACAGATGGCCGAAACAGTGCAGTATCTAGTTGGTGAACGAATCGCGCTGCAAAAGAAGTGCGAGGAGCTTGGCGGCAATGGAGGTGCGCATGTCAGCGAACTCGAGGAACGATGTCGGCAGCTGCTTGGCCGCTATCTGCGCGTCGAGAGTCATCGCAAAGCACTGGTCTATCAGAAACGCTACCTGAAGCTCACTCTGGAGGGTTATCAGGCAAGCGAGCAACTGGCTCTACAAAACATTGCCGTCGGAACTGGGTTGAAAGTAAACCAGCCAAAGCCCACTAAAAAGAAACTATTCAAGTGAGTTGCTCTTCGTTATACTTTTCTTGTTAGCTTCCTAATTAACACAATTCGTATTGATATCTTTCAGGACTGTCGCTCTGGCCATCATTGCCATACAACGCATCAAGTACATTGGGCGCATCTGGCACACTGGCAAACGGATTGTGAGCAAATCGATATTTACAATAACTCAGCAAAGGTGAGCAGAATTTTTGAATGGAGAACTTAAAGCGCGTATCTCTCTCAAACATATGCCGTGCATAACTACTCTCATTTCTTTACCCCGTGCAGCACTAAACTGCCTCTAGTGACAGTCAATATGAGAGTCAAATTAAGCAAAGGCGATTCCGCCCATAAGTAGATACTCATGAGGTCTGGTGCCAAAAGGTCTGCTACATTACCTTGACAGCACTCAGTTTCATTTACCACAAGCAAATTTGTTTTATTGTACGAACAAAAAGTTGCAAAATTATGAAGTACCCGTTTAGAATCTTTTTATACTGATCCTCAGTTTTGTAGTTTGATTCCACTTTGATTGGCTCTTTTATCTACTGGCACTACTTACTATGTATGCTTATTAATGGCTTTTTTCTTGCAGAGTCGGGCCGTGTCTCAATCTAAATGAGGCTCCGTCTTTACCCGTGGGCCAACAGAATGCTAGCCTCAACAGCAATTTGCCCACCAATTCTCACAATAGAGCACGTATGAGCTACGCACCAGACACACCGTCCCTCGCACCGGCCGTGAACTTTAGCACCTTACAGCCCATTGTTCTAGCTCACGACTACGCCTTGCAGACGTCGGCGGCTTTCAGCAACAACAACAACAACAATAATAACAACAACCACAAGAAAATTGAAGCGGCGCTGCCGTCGCTAACAACTCTGGACTGGACGACAACACAAAAGGCGAAAAGAGTACATTCACGGCATCATTAGGAACACATAGGAAAGCTAGAAAACATGCTCAATATATGCCATTTAGATATATCCTTCCCCTTACCCTTACAGCCATAAATAATATATGATATGTAAAGCAGTTGCCCGCGTGGCTGCTAATTGTACGTTTTAAAAATGTTGTGTAGTTATGAATTACTTGTAAGTACCTAGTTTAGAGCCAAAAATCGTCAACAAACCCAGCATCGAACATGAGTGTTAATATACCTAAAATGTACCAATTAATTATTATTTACATTTTAATAACATTATTCTAGAGTTAGTTTTACCCACTCCCAGTATTTCGTTAAATTAATTACCTAAGACATATCCACTTAAATTACCTTAATTTCGTTTAATTTGTACACCTGTAGACCTGAGTGACTGTCCTTATTGTTTTTAGGCTGATTAAAGCTAACTTATTCACATAATAAAGTGTCATTATTTTATCATTTGAATTTGTCACGTCCGGCAGCAAGAGAATGAAGCATACTTCGCATGTGCCTTAGTTGTGTGAGAAGGGCTAATGAAGCATTTAATGTAAAACTTGTAAAAATAACTCAAAAGAAGTTTTAATAAAAATATCGCTGAAAGGTAAACAAGATTACCCGATAGATTCATGAACACGTTTAGTATTCTATTATTGAGAAGCACCTGCAACAGGTTGGGAAGCAGAAGTTATTAAAGCACAGTTTTTTGAGCTGGCTCTAAATTCAAGCGGCAAACCGAAAAATCCGCAGGGATGGCTGTCAGTGCAAATTAACTCGCTAACACTGATTGCTGCACAGACAGTCGAGACAATTACGTTTCAACCTCGTTATCAAAACATCAACAGCCCAAAGCATCCGCCGGCCGTGCCCGTAATCTATGACTGATAACAGGCGAAAGCTTTTCGCCAAGCGAAGGCTAAAGGCCCCAAGGAGCTTTTTGCGAGCAACACGACTACGCTACTGGTGCCAGCATTTCTAGCATATGGCAGTAATCTATTCCGCAGCGTCTACCATTAGGCATCCTGCCGTTGTGAGAAACAGTTGGCATCTGGCAAGGCGAGAAAGGCGTTAGCTCCGGCTTCTACCATTTCATATGTGCATCGACCAAATCCAACTAAACATAAGATACAATTTAAAACAACTTACCAAGACTTAAAGTTGCCATTTTAAATGTGTTTCCATCGCAAGCTTTATCAATAAATAAAATTGACAATTATGTGACGCGTAACGTATATTTCAAACAGTTGTCATAATATGTTTTTGTAACAGCCGATGAAACTATAAAATAAAAAAAATCATTAAATCACCAAGTGTTTGTAATTTGACATTCATTTCAAGCCGAAACATCGTACTGCATTGCATATTCCCGGGTAAGTTGCAGATTATCATTACTGAAAAAGAAAGTAACTAAATACGATTAATGCATGGTGTTTTCTCAATAGAATGTAAGCTAAACTATTACATCTAATGCATATTTAATGCTTCCTTGAGAAAAGGAGAGCAAAAAATGTAATCGAGCTGCTCTGATTGCTGAATGAGACTCGACCAAAATAAAAGCAAGCAACTTGTGTAAGGTTACCTCCAGGCCAGTCGCACACTTCGCTCTGCATTCTCCGTGACACCAAACTGCCTCTTGGCTTGGCTATGCACGGAATTGTGCACTCACATAAATCCTTGATAAGATAGTCACGTTATCATCACGCATTGCGTATACAACGTTTCTATAATTTGTTTGACAATATTCGTTACGCCATGCAGATCATTTTGCTACTATATATGTATATATGTATATATATACATACGCTTTTATGACGTCAATAGGCATTTACATCTATACCATGCCGATATGTATACATATGATTTTTGCCCTAGTTATCTTTCGCTGAAGCTGACTCAGATAATCAAAGTAAACAAATTAATTGAAGTTTATTAATTAGTTTGTCATGGCTGTGCGCACTGGTACATGATTTATTTTAGTTTCCTGATTTTTTGTGTACGTGGCGTTTTCTCGCTTCTCCCCAGACTAAAAGGGGTATAAAAGCGTTGTGTAATGATTTACTTCAATCGTCCGATAAATAGTCATAACTAAAATATATATGTAGTATTCTAATATACATCTTTTATAATTGCAAAATGAAGAACACGTAATTGAGATAACATTAATCCCTACTCTGAAGATCGATCAGAAAGAGTTACTGGCAAACTTTACAAAATATATTGGATACGCTTAGACGGATCCTTGGTTGATAAATTTAATAGTAATAGTAATAAGTAATAGTAATAGTAATAAATAATAGTAATAAATAATAGTAATAGTAATAAATAATAGTAATAGTAACAAATAATAGTAATAAATAGTTTGTTAACCTGAAGCGTTAATGGTAGCAAGTTGAATCATAACTCTTGGATGTTTCATTGTAAGCAATGTCAAACACAGTCGCCAGCAGTAGGCGGATTACAAACATTATATAGAATTTATATATATATAACTCACAAAAAGTACATTTAATATACGATTGTTTCACTGTTTTCAACGTTTCAATTGGAGTCAATTAGAATACATAAGTGGACACGAAAACATTAGTTTTATTTGCACAAGTTTTTTATTTGGGAAAGTGCAGACTTGTTTTTAGATTCTTTCACGTCTATACAATGAAACACTTGTTCTAATGACAACCTATCGAAGTCGTTATTAACTTTCCTCAAGCTAAGTAAATACAGCAGAAGCTTGACGCTCGAAATTCGTACATTGTGCACGTTTCAATTATAACAATTGCTAGGGTTCAGCCAAGTTAGTTGAATCAATATCTAAGGCAAAAGTGACAAGCTCGTTTTGTGATAAAAGCAGCCAACACTGCGAATCGAAATCAGTTGAAGACAGGACTCGAAATCAAAAATGCTCTGGCTTAAATCGTTTGTATTCTTCACCTTGATGGCGTTGGTGGTGTCAGAGACACCAAATATCATTGTACGTGCACCACTTTTGCGCCAGCCTCTAATCAAGCTGGCCGTTGAACCGCCGATTGTCAGTGAACCTGTTGCCGTAGCAGCAGTGGAGGAAAATCCAGAGGAAGTGGCACCCGCAGTAGCTGGTCGTCGCATTCTGCCCTTTGTTGAGCCCCAGTACTGGCAACAGTTCGGTGCCCAGAACTATAACCCGTATAGCCCATACGGCTATAACCCATACTGGGGCGGATATGGACAGGTTAGACCCAGACGCTGGGGTCCCAGCTATTGGGGTCCTCGTGTGATGGTCACTGCCAGCCCAGTTGCACCTGTCACAGATGTCAAACAAGTTTCCAATACAAATGTCGAGGCTGTGGACTCAGCTCCGCAGGTAAACTAAGGGCTTTCCGACGACTTGTCTACCTTTTACCATGTGGAATCTTGATTTCAATAAACTACACTGTAAATGCAGCAAAGCTTTGATCAACTCAGTTCAGCCTAGAGGTTGCTAGACTCTTTGCTTTAACAATAAAAATTGTTTATCTTATCGAACAATTTGTAAATGGTCTTGCTGTCCTTGTTGAAATATCAAAAAAAGAACGTAAACAGTGCGCACCAGTCAGCCATCAAAGTCAACTGCAGAGCTTCTAACTCTGCCATATGGCGCAATATTGGAAAATCCAATCAAAATGTTAATTCGACGACAGGCCGGGCACGCTTTATGCTAAGCCCGCGAAAAAACCTGTTGGCATTGTTATGTAAAGCTCGATGGCTATGCGCCCAAACAGCGCTAGCTGGGCAAGCAGTTCCCTGTTCTTATATTCATTCACGAAGTGAATGTCTAGGGCGGGGGTACCTACAAGTAAAGGCTCCAAGTTTCACGTCTTCCCCTTCATTAATGGCGTAATGGTTTGCCTTCATACGGACAAAGGCACGAACCAATCAAATCATTCACTTCGTGAATAAGTATAAATTTTGATACATGGTAGACGATAATGATACTTATCGTTGAAAGCTCGAAGATGTACAAGCGCCTAATGACTAATGACTAATGACTAATGACTAATGACTAATGACTAATGACTAATGACTAATGACTAATGACTAATGACTAATGACTAATGACTAATGACTAATGACTAATGACTAATGACTAATGACTAATGACTAATGACTAATGACTAATGACTAATGACTAATGACTAATGACTAATGACTAATGACTAATGACTAATGACTAATGACTAATGACTAATGACTAATGACTAATGACTAATGACTAATGACTAATGACTAATGACTAATGACTAATGACTAATGACTAATGACTAATGACTAATGACTAATGACTAATGACTAATGACTAATGACTAATGACTAATGACTAATGACTAATGACTAATGACTAATGACTAATGACTAATGACTAATGACTAATGACTAATGACTAATGACTAATGACTAATGACTAATGACTAATGACTAATGACTAATGACTAATGACTAATGACTAATGACTAATGACTAATGACTAATGACTAATGACTAATGACTAATGACTAATGACTAATGACTAATGACTAATGACTAATGACTAATGACTAATGACTAATGACTAATGACTAATGACTAATGACTAATGACTAATGACTAATGACTAATGACTTATGAAAAGCAACAGTAAACAAACGCCAAAGAAACAGGGAAAATTCTTTATGCCTATAGTTGAGTGAAAGCCTGTTGAACAATTGCGGCGACAGATTGCACAGTCGCAGCTTGTATGAAGGCCGTGTGACAGACTCTGCGAAGCAGATTGGCAACAATGCGGATACCTGCCACATTTATGTGTGTGAGTGTATATGCATTTTTACGTAGCCTAGCTGAGGATCGTAGAATGTGGAATAGTGTTTTTTCAGTCTTTCAAATTTCAGCTTAAAAATTCATGATTTTGCATTACTTTTCCCTAACGAAGAAAAAGACATAAATATGCTAGCTTTGAGAGCGCAGACTTCATATGAGAACCAACAATTTCCACCAATGTAGTGCCTTTCTCTGTTGCAGTTTGTTCGTATGCCTGATTAAAAAATACAGTACATTTATGTGCCCACTTTGGAGGCGATTAACAGTCTCAATTTTTGTTAAAATTGTAACTATTGTTATAAAGCCCCACAATTGTTGAACAATAGCCCCAACATTAGACAATCATCGTCATCCTTAGACTTAGAGCTAAAATCGACCACATTTTCCAGAGGATGGCAGTGGACGTTACCATTTGGGACGCAGCAAATCGGACTATATTGATTTTGATAAATTTTTATATGACCGGGAACATCGCTTAAATGTATGCTATGAGACAACCGGATAAAAATTGCATTTTGTAGGTTGGAATCGTTGATCTCTATTTTAAATTGATTGAAAACCAAGAAACACAGCGACGAGGAATATCAGAAAAGTATAAAACTAATAAATCGCTAAGTCGTGCAGTTGGATCACCACTGCTCATCTTAACGCATGGACTATACATGATATGGTCCGCTCATTGAGGTGTGTCAAATCCGAGAATATCGATTCATGACTACATGAACGGGATTAATTCAATTGGTTTCGCTGAGCGTAAGCGTAAGCGTTGCTTCTGGCCACAAGGCAGCCAGCACAGTGATAAAGACTTGCTATTGTAGTCTGCTTAAAAGGTTAGCACCATTTATTTGCTTCTCATTTAAAAACTTTGTTTATGTGTGAGAATATAACAAATATTTTGAACAAGACTCAACCTATCACCAATTGTGCAAACTTTTTCAAGTTCTTAGGAAAATGATATATTTTTGAAATATGCCAAACCCCGAATGTAAAGTCACAGTCAGCAAATATTTATCAAACCTCGAATATTTGTGTCCGACTTGACTCCAATCAAGAAGCCAGCTGTTATTAAACAAACAATAACAACTAAATGTAATAAGATATGGCCCGTGACAGGTATTTCGATTTGTACGTATAAAAACTTGCCAAGCAGAGCTTGAGAGATCAGTTCACTAAGAAACCAATCGACATGCGTACCATTTTGCTGCTTGCCCTTTTCGGCTTCGTGCTCCTCTCCACAGTATCCGCAAGTGAAGAAGCTGAGAAGGTGGAAGACGTAGATGACGATGAAGTCGAGTATGAGGAAATCAAAGATTATGAGGACGACAAAGACGATGAGGAGGATAAAGACGACGATTCCGACAAAGACGAGGAGTCCGACAAAGACGACGAGTCCGACAGTGACGATGAGGATGTCAAAGACGAAACTGATTCTGCTGATGAAGTAGTAGAGGAGATAGAAGCAGAAGATGCTGAATAAAGCAAGGACTTTCCTTATTAAATAATAATCTATCTGTCCTATTTTACTACACTGCTCAACCTAAAGGAGCAATCAAATCACAACAAATTCAACAGGAAAAGAAAAATAAAATACGCTAATTTCACGCACATTTAATATCGAAATCAAATCTTTTTGGTGATTGCCTGGTAAAAATTTGTTTTTCAACAACATATTCCAAATTGTTAATTCCTTTTGAGGGTTACATTCCTTGGCTTTTCCTACAATAATTGTATCATTCCTAAAATCAGGTTGGGGAGAATTTCTCTATTATCAAAACAATTCTGACTTTTGTTAACAGATTATTGATTCATGAAAGGACTTATTAGAGAAAGTACTTGCGTTTAAAGACTACAGATAGTTCAACATAAGTTTTAGCATAAATAACGTTACGTGTCTAATTGACGTGTTTTTCCATACGTCAAATGTCAATTGACTTAGCATTTAGCTCAGACGTAAGGCCCAATTTTAGGAGTGTGCACAGTTGTTCCTAAGTAAATAATCGCGACACGCAGTTATAGAATGTGCCTCTATATACAAATATATATATATACAAGTATATATATGAACATATACAATGCAGCTCATTTGAATAGGTGTGCGTTTTGAAAAGATATTAACTATGATTTTAACTATGATTTAAATGAAATAAACTTTGTTATATAAAACATTAGATTATTATGAAAGTTTCTGCCCTGTAAATTTTCATATTATATAATTTTTAAGAATTTTTTGAGGAATCTATTGTAAAATTAGTTTTTATATTTTGCTCATCTGAATAGGCTTGAAGGTTTCAGTTTTAATTTGTGATCAATTGCATAATTACAAAACGTTAACTTTTTTCTAGTAGTTTCGAGAGAATCTTGTTGCAGCCCTCGACATATAAAGGGTCCTGCCCCTTTGTAAGTCTAAATTCAATAACCTAAAATTAAACTCTTTCTTTTTAAGAACTGACAAACTTATCCGAAGTGAAGAACACGCCATAGGAACATCGTTCTCTTTAAAATGGTTATGGTAAGTTCAGCAGTATTGGGTGCCGCGGCTGGCACTGGGCTGGCGCTTCTGCTGGCCGTAACAATCGTTATGTATCGTTATTATCTACTGCGTCGGCGAGGCAAGGTGAGTATTTTAACTTTCATATATTAATTTTATATTCACTTTTTCGTATTACGTGCCTAAATCAGGAGTGGGATGAGCTGGATCGCTGGGAAGAAACACGCATCATGCGTAAATTACAGATGAAGGTAAGCTTCTTTTACATTGAAACGTCAACTTAAATAACATATAAAATATAACATATAACATATACATTTATTATTAGTATATTAAGAAATGTCATTCATATAAGATACTTGTTGGATTTACTACAGTTTTGCATTCACTGATGCTACAATTTGAGTTTCGCATCCCTGAATTGGTTTGCGACTTGGCTAATTCCTTGTAGACTAATGAAACGAAAAATTTACGGTCATTAAAAATGTTTCTAATGAAATCTGTCATGTGAATATGAGGTTGAACTATATTTGTTTCAATATATTTGTAATACATATATTATAATTTGTTAGTCCATTTGTACATTCATATATTATGATGTCAATAATTTCTGCAATACAGAAAGTATTACACATGTCTTTTTCTCTTTTACTCTTATATGTATATACATATATATATACATACATATATATATATATATATATATATATTTAAATTATATATTATATATTATTGAGACTACAAATCTCAATTATTTTGTTATAGATATATAGTTTTAATTGACATTTGAGTTAATGCAATATACGAATTTGACATGAAAGATGAGTGCAACTTAAGTCTATATCTTTCATACTCAAACAGCTAACGTTATAATCAATAAGCAAGAAAGCTCTAGTCTCTTATCCCAGTCCGTTGTGCATTTTTAATATTTTCCATAGCTTGTATCGAGTATTAAATGAAAGAATTAAATAAATACATAAAGTAACTAGTAGCTAAAGTCGAATACTACTCAATCGCAATTTCGGTTTTTGGAGTAGAAAAGAATGCACTTATTTGAATGTATGTGTGCAATGAGTACGCTTGACGTGCGCTTTGTTTAATAACTACTGTTTTCTTAATGGATTTTAATGAAATATTAAGCATATGATCTGCATATTCTAATGCAGTAATTGCCAGCTTAGTAAATATGTAAAATCCTTCACATCTTGGCTCTATTTTCAATTGAACTTAATTTTTAATTTTGAGCCAAAATATAACAAAAATCGAATTTGTATAAAATATACTTAAAATTAAATACAAAATTTAGAGGCGATAACAAGCCGTACGAGATATAATTTAATAATTGCATTTGAATCAAGTTCTTAATCGATAACAATAAATCGGAAATAGTTATGCGAGTGTTATACACAGACCAACAAAAGTACAAAATTTCTAGTCTCTAGCTCTTATAGATTCTGAGATCTGCGCGATAGACGGACAGGGCTCCATCGACTCGGCTTGTTGTCCTGATCAACAATATATATACTTTCTGAGGTCTGCCACGTATCCATCTGCCTGTTACATACATTTTTACAAAACTATTATACCTCGATTTCCCAATTTTAATGGGATTAGGGTATACAAAATATTTTAAGACGCAGATAGGCCTGGGCTGAGTGTATCTCCTAGTCGGGCATCCCGCCTAGAGCTTTCTTACTTGCTTCAAAATGTGGTTAAGCGCACTCCAAAATGGCCAAAATGTCCCGTCTATCGCTATAAGTCTAAATCTAAACTCTTGAATTGAGTTCCTTGCGATCACAAACTTTGTACATTTCTTCTGTTCTCGATAAAATGGGTAAACATGTTCGCTTTCGGCAGCCATGTTTGTCAATTTAGCAATCATAAACTGCGATAAGGGCCACAAAGAGATACGAATGTAACAACTGCCACGAATCCCAAAAGGGTGCTCTGTCTATTAATTGATAATGCAGCCGCGTGCATTATATATTACATTTATTCATTTGAGTCAATCTGAGGGTTGTTTCGATATTATCATGAACACACGCCGCAGTAGAGCGTGCCGCCTATTGCGCAGAATCCAACGACTGTCAAAGAGAATGCGCGCGCTTCTCCATTTCCCTTATGCAGGATATGGAAACATTTATTTATTTTATTTTTTTATTTTAAATATGGTTTTTATTGACTGGCTGTGGCAATTGACTTGGCGAAGTGGTGGAAAGGGATGCTAAGTAGATCCATGTTACTTGTGTTTGTTGTTTACTGTTTATTTGTATGTATAATTTGATTAGTTGTTAAATATACGAGTCGCGGTCCATTGTGAGGGCTGAATGCATGCTCGGAATGTTAGCTGACTAGGCTTACAATTGTTTGGACACATACTCCCTGTTGGCCTCTTCGAAAAGCCACAACATTGACCACAACAAAGCACTTCTGATTAATTGCAGTGGCCGTCGAATCGGCCTTGACCACGATGGTCGCTAAAAAATGTTCAACTAAACTAGCTGCTCTTCATAGAAGGTTGACTGTCCACTTTTACCTGGCCTAGCAGCACACAAAGGACACTAGGTACATGAATGGCGAGGCTTGCACGAAGACATCTGCAGATCACTGCAAGTGTTCGCAGCTCTCAGTTCGAAAAGCAATACAATAGTTTCATTATTTCGGACCTTTGTGCTGCACTGACTTTCATTCATAAATGAATCATGGAGCTGGCGCATTGTTGTCCTAGGCCTTTGGTCGCATCAAATGTTAAACGGTCGGTAAAGGACTTTGAAATATATTTCTATAGCTAATAGTATTGACGCGAACTCATAGAAGAATCGTAGAGTCCCTCAGCAATTTGGTACAAAACGACATTCCAAACAAACAGACCGCACGCACTCATCCATTGCCGGAGGTTTGATGACTGAGCAACACGCAACGTCCCCACCCCAATTATTCAGTGGTGCAAAGCTCTTTTATAATTTATTCATAAGCGCACTATAATATGAGGCTACTTGAACGGTAATGAAGTCATATTTGTTAAGCCAACATGCCATACATAAAAGTGTTTCTCTCCACTTTCTGTTCATCAAGAGCCCCTAAGCTAAGTAAACCCTCAGAAGTAAATGAGAGTAGAGTCGATGACTGTGTTTGGCAAAGTAGCAACAATGGCAACTACAACAATCAGTCAAATGCAAATGTCACAACCAATTAATGTCAAGAAGCGATATGCTATACAATGAAAGCAACTGAAGTCTCATAAGCCAAGCGGGGTGCAGTTGATCCCATCTTGTTGGTGCTGCTGGTGGTGGTTCGTACCGTACGCCCGTTGGCTGGTGTATCCAGTTTGCCACAGACTCGTATCTCTCTCTATCTCACTATTTCTCACTCTCTCTCTCTTTTGATCTCCCTGCTCTTTCTGCTTTGCTTATAAAAAATAAACAAAGTTTTACCGCTTTCATTAGTTTGGCGTTTACCCGAGTTTTGTTCACAATTAAAATGATTTTGTGGTGTGATTTTCACCTATTCCAAGCGGAGGTTCTTTAAGCTCTTCTCCTACTTGTTTGTGATCTTAAACAAACTTGCTTGTAGGTTTGAAACATTCTCTACGCATAACTTCGGCACATGTGTCGAATAGAAATGATCTTAGCTTCGAGTTTCCTCTTCCTAGAAAACAGACGGCCATAATACCACGTTCTCTTCGATCAACAATACTCGAAATAAATCGAGCGTATAAACGGAGCATATACAAAAAGCGGATGTGGTCAAAGGTGAGCAGCTCGAAGTGCTCAAGAGGCCCTTCAAGAATAACAATAGCTAATAACAAAAACTGGTCCAGATTCTGAGCACGAGACCGGCGCAACGCCTACACAACGCATTGCCAAAAAAATAATGATTCGGTGCTGCAGCTGCGTCATAGAGTGCAAAGAATTTTTGCATGGCCTCACTATAAGGAAAGTACGCCAATTAAGCAGAAGCCAAAACTAACAACAATACCCCCAAAAAGAAAAAACAAACGATATCTCGGACTCGGACCCTAAAGCTATGCAACTGCAGTTAACAATGCAATTTGAAATGTACCGTCAGATTGGGACAACAATTAACGTTCGTAATTGTGTGGAGTTTTATAGCCACTTAACATATGATAAAATATCATTGAAGCAACACAGAAGGAAAAGAACAACACAAAGCAGCACCCAGACAGACACCTAAGCATTACACACATCGTAGGACAATGGCGTGAAAAGGACAATTATAGAAAATCCTTAAAGTCAGTTAACAAATGATAAAACTGCCGCCAAATATTTCTCTGTAATGTAGCTCTTAAACTAGACCCTCCTGCTCACGCTCTCGCCCGTGCTCTCGCTCTCTCTTTCTAAGGCGACGCACCGTCTGGCCGAGCACAAAGACACACTGGGCATCGGGTCTAGGGTCCAGGTCCTGAATGAATGCCACGGCTCAACCTGAATGAGCCAAGTTTGCATGCGTATGTGTCTATGTGTATGTGTAGTACGACCATTGAAGGACATTGTTAACCGATTTGCCAGTCGCATACAAACATAATGCTTCCATAAATACATGTTAAGGCTATCAGAGTGCAGTCGACAAAACGTCACAGACAAATTGTCATGCAAAAGTATGGCATTTCTAGATTTCAAGTTTCTATGCGATCAGATGAATGAAAAAGTTATAGGTATATTTGAAAGGAGTCTACAGTCTACTGTAAAATCTGGGAACTCAGGCGAAAAACTGTGCAAATTACAGATATTTTCAATATACCGCATTTCCAGTAGGCTTATCGGGAAAATATTAATACTATTCAAGTAATCTAGCTTTAATAACGGCGAAAATGCTTGCATTAATACGGACATATAGACAGACGGACGTAACACAAAGCCCAAAACCACTTGGCTGGACTATGAAATCCTTATAATGTTATTTTCAATAATATATATACACATATATTTAATAAATCAAGTCAAGTAAAAGGCTATCAACTGTGTCTTCGTTAATAGTTATTCAGGGAGTCTCAGAAAAGAATATTATTAATTATTGTGACTTAATGCAAATGTAAATGCGAATGCGATGAGTTAATTAGTGAGTTAACAAGTCGTAATGCAATCAACAGTAACAGTAAAAATATATAATTTGGGTTTTCGGATGTGGAAATGTTTGTTCACAAGCTAAACGTTATCAGACAGATTCTTGATAGACAGAAAAAGTTCTACAAAACAGTCATATATGTCCACATGTATGGCAGTTGAATATTTGAATCAGAATATGTAGGCCATACCACATCGAATTCAAATCGCATCTAGCAGTGATCCAAATCGTAAGATCGTAATTTAAAACGTTTACTCTAAGACATTAGTTGATGGTATACCACGCGTTAATAGAATATGCACTTATAGTTGTAATCACATTCAGCCATACACACAGCCGCACACACAGATGCGCATCATTGAGGATATACCTGCCATTGTGAACGATCTGTGTGTGTCAGGGGCGGAGCTTCAATGGCTACAGTTTCTGTGTTTAGAGGAAGACAAGCTGTAATGGTGGCTTAATGGTCAGAAAAAAGCAAACAACCCTCGAAGAAGTCAACAACAATGAAAAGGCAGCTCAGGCCAGAGCCAAGGGTGTGCAAAAACAACCCCTCAACCACCGCTGTCTATATAAAGGGAAGAACACGGCCAGAGAGCTAACCAGTAACGCTCACACAGCGATCGTGCTAGGATCTCGCACTGAATAGAGCAGCAGCATTAACGACTTACAACTTTTAGCAAATATGTCGCGCTCCTTTCTAATGGACTCGCTGCTCAGCGATATCCCACCGCTCAACAAGAACAAGGAACCTCTTGACTCACCCACTGCCAATGCAACGGCTGCTGCTGTGGCTGCCTCAGCTGCTGCAGCCGCAATGCTGCCGGGGATACCCATGCTGCCTTATCCAGCAAGCTATGTTGGCAGCTACCTCTTCTCACTTGGCATCCAGCAGCAGCAGCAGCAACAACAACAGCAACAACAACAGCAGCAGAAGCATCAAGCATCAGTTGCAGCGGCTGCGGTTCACGCCTCTCTGTATCATCCGTATGCGCAGCTTTTTGCCTCCAAGCGGAAGTCGAATGGGTTCGGAAGCTATGATGACTGCTATCCATCTCCTCCGCTGTCGGCCAATGCCGTTGCACACGGCTCGAATGCTCAATTTGGTCTCCCATTAATTCCGCCGACGGGAGTCTACGGTCAAAGCCTTCACGAAGTTGGTGCCTTCTGTACTTCGCCATCGGCATCCTCGACAACTTCGTTGGATTACGGGAATCCCGATGAGCAGTTAACGAAACGTTTCAAGCGTGAGTCTTCTTGTTCGCCTGCCAGCTCTCCCGTTAAGTCCCAACAAGCAGTTTCCAGTGGCGGCTTGGAGATCACGCCATTGATCAACGACTATGCCGACTCCAGCAAACGCATCCGCACTGCCTTTACCAGCACCCAGTTGCTCGAGCTGGAAAGAGAGTTCTCCCATAATGCCTACTTGTCACGCCTACGACGCATCGAGATTGCCAACCGCCTTCGGCTATCAGAGAAACAGGTGAAGATATGGTTCCAGAATCGCCGCGTAAAGCAGAAGAAGGGCGGCTCCGAAAGCCCCACCTTTAATTCATCAGTCAACTCGAGTAGCCCCCAGGCGTCACCCATAGCCAAGTGCTGTGCGTAACTTATATTGTTGACTCGATTTCTGTACAAAAAGCAACTAATTCGTTTTCATCTTAAGATAGTCATTAGTGTGTATATGTTGAATAGTATAAAATAAAAACCCATTCATAAAAATGTACAGACTTTTTATTTTTACACTGAAGTCATTGAAAATGGGAAGTAAAGAATCAGTATATGCAACTGAACAGCTGTTGCTGTTCCCATACAGTATTCTTGATCGAAATGAACAGCACAGCTGATCGAGCTTTGTCAGTCCCAGAAGGACTGGAGACATACGTCCTCTATAGCATGCTCATCATCACGTATATTGATTACTATTTGCCAAATAAGCCCCTTCAGACATTAATGCATTTTATATAATTTTAATCTCTTGTCAGTCTGAATTAAAGGCATTAAGTGTTCTTGATCGGAGTTGACTGCCAATCGATCTAGATTTCTTTTGAATTTACAATAACTCTTTGCATTTCCATAAAATTGATTACAATTTGTAGGTAGATAATTCTGTGTATCGTGTACTATCGCGTCCTCCTAGTCAGCCACTTCAGTCTAGAGTGATCCTACTTGTTTAGAATGTATAGTAGGCCTAAGAGCATCATTTGCCAGCAGCTGTAACCGAAAACAACAACTTCAACAACAAATCAGCAGATGTGAAATACTAACGTATATCTTAAAAATTCATCGTTCTATTGTGATGTCGAACTTTTACAAGGAGCTGAAAGCAGAATGGTTGAATGCCTCGCCAGATTTGTCGCGCTGCGGCCAGCTCCTGAACTCACTTAAATTGGAGATGGTTCGTGTCGGTTACGTGGAAGATGAGGGTGAAGTGAATCCGCAACAGAAACAGGAGTTGCAGAGGTCACGGGATATACTGGAAATCGCTATCGAACACAGCATCAAGGTCAAAGATAATGCAGCATTTGAGCGATATATGACACAGCTTAAGATGTACTACTTCGACTACAACAAGCATCTTGACTCCTCGGAGCAGATGCACAAATTCATGGGCCTTCACTTGCTCTATTTGCTGGCCACCAATCGCATCGCCGACTTTCACATTGAGCTGGAACGTTTGCCGTCGGCTCTGCTGCTGCAAAACCCTTTCATTTCGCCGGTGCTGGCGCTGGAGAACTACTTCATGGAGGGACGGTACAATAAGATCTTGCAGGCAAAAAAGTCGATGCCATCAGGGCTATATGCTGATTTTATGGATCTACTGGTGGGTACTGCCCGGGAGGAAATAGCCTCATGCATGGAGAAGTCGTACGGAAAGATCGCACAAAAGCAGGCTGCATTACGCTTGGGTCTCAAGCCCGACAGCCGTGAGATGCAGGCTTTGGTCGCCAAACGGAACTGGACCCTTGATAAGGATGGCAACTTTAACTATGCCGAGCTACACCGGAGGCAAAAGGAGAAAGTGCCGGCCAAAGATATCGCAGTCCACACATTAACATACGCGCAGGAACTAGAGAAAATTGTTTGAAGTTATAACAAATGAAGCGTTTTACGTTAATCCAATCAGCTAGAAAATGATTGCCTGAAATAGAGTTGCTTTCTTCCGAAATTTGTCAGATTAAATTTGCACAGAACTCAACTTAGAGAGTTTTCGTTAGTTTCGTCTAAAAACTGGGTACATCCTGCCTGTAAGTCGACAGGCGGGACAAATCGTGGACAAAGCCGCCGTTAGGGTAGGCTATTCGAATTTGAATTTCAGTGTATCTTTCATAGGATTGATATTAGAATAACTTAGATTGCAATTGCAGATATGATATCCTTAAGTATCGATAATGCCTCATTCGTTTGGCTACTTCATCTACCCAATTGCGTGGTCTGCGGGTCAGACCGCAATGCTGACGATAAAGAAACTTGCATTTTCATTGCACCACAATTAATCTCGTCAGATATTGCAACATCGTGATCCTATTTTAGAAAGATACTTGACAATTCCGAGTCCTGCGATTTAATTGAGCGCAATTGCCAATCAAAGAGGTTTTGCGCATGCAACATTTTAGCACAACTATGAGGCACAAGTGCGTTAACTCAGATGCGTATCGTCGTCGGGTAAAAAATTATCAAATTAAATTTACTGAGGAGTGCCGGCCAAAACGAATCAGGCGCAACAAACCTACTTCGGGCCTTCAGTCGCTTAGCTGATTCAGACAAAGTCAACAACAATTGTCATCGATCCTTCAATGAGTACGGCAAACGTATTCTACTCTTCATTCCAAAATTCAATGGGAGAAAGAATGAGGGGTGCGGTGCTAATAAACGCAATTGCACCTACGCCCCTACGGGGCAGCAGTTGTCGGGCAGAATGGCCCAGTCGGTGGCTTTAAACGGAATTCTGAATTCCATTCATTGTGCACATTCTTCAAAATTCGTCTCAGGTAGTATTCCTCTATTGCACGATCGTTATCAGTGACGTATATAAAAGTCTTGCCTTACTGTTTTTCAAGTGTGCGCCCACTTGAGTTGAAGATCGAACTCTTGAGACTGAAGTGCTCAGGTAGGTGGTGCCAACTCCTGTAGTGTAAGCATTTTCGTTTGTTTTTGCAAATTCATTGAATGTAGTGCTCTGTAAATAGTAGTACTCCATAGAAATGGAGTGAGACTAGAATTGATCTAAATTGAATAAATATTCTAAAAACGACCCCAACAAATACAATTGATAAAGAAACTATACATATAGATACAGATTAACCCATTTTAGATGTGAATTGGGAAGCTGAGCTTAATTATACATCAAATTAAATACTAATTGTACTCAGTCTAACATAGTATGTATATATATAAAAAATATGGTTCACGAATTCCGCTAACCTGATCTAACTTAGACTAGAGTTAACTAGATAACCTGGGCAATACGAAAAGCACGCACAATTCATGAATGAATTGAGACTCAACTGTGAAGTCCTTTACTCTCAAGTGTTTCTGGCCATTCTCAAGATGTTTTTCAATTTCTAGCACATTTCATGAATGAAACCTACCCCGAGAGTTAGAGACTATTTAGCTACGCTGCCTGCTTGACTCGCAGTTCTTGAGAGCTGGGAAATTCCGATATCTTGTTAAAATATCATTAGCCGACGCGTTGCAGCTAACAATTCTTTTGAAAACTTGTGGGTCAAGTGAGGCTGAGAGCTCTACCTGTGCGTAGACCGTTATACATGTGCCAGGTGCATAGACTACACTTGTCTAGACTCTAGACTGTTTGTCGCCAGGGAATTCACAGTCGAGTGTCCAGCAGCGCGACGGCTGTGGTCTCAAGTGCCACATTTTTAGTGTTTACATCGATCTCTAGCTATTTATGTTTTCCCATATACTCGACCTTGATATTATCTGGGGACTAACTAAATTATAATAACTTTATATTTGAGGTATACAAACTGTTTGCAGTTGGAGCTGGTTTTTATGGTGCGTAGTTCAAATTTAAGCTCTCTAGCTCCAATAAAAGAATTGAAATATATCAGAGTGTGTCAGATCCGACTTTATTCATTATGTAGAGGATCGTCTCAATAGAGTAAAAATAGACGCAATCAAAAGACAATTGTTTAAAATATCATTAAAATATAATTACATTTTTCATACTCATGCTGAGCCACATTTGACTACTTGTTAACAAAGTATTTGGATTGGAATGCTTCATACGTAAATAACTTTCTGACAATTTTATGCCATTTTTATTCTCACTTTACTAATGAACTCATTTGATGGCCCCTTCATAAGCACTTTGTCTACAGTGGATGACTACCACAAGGCATCTCCAACAGTCACAGACATATACTCATTTTCGTGGCGCCTTCGGAAGGATTGGCGCCTTTTTACCGATTCATTGTGTACATATATAGTAGATATATAATTAATGGCTGTTTCTATGAAAGCTTGTGTTGGCATTCACAGAGCTGTGTTCAAGTCGATCTAATTACGATTATTCAGTTCAAGCATATAGTGTTCTAACAACTTGACGTTGTTGGACGCGTGTTTAAGTGGCGAATGCTCATCTTAAGATAAAAATAAGCCATATTCACATATGCGTTATACATATGCACACCACTTGCTTGTCATTCAGTAAGGAGTCCTGTGAGTGCCATGTATCTCATCATTTGAAACATTCGTTTCGAACAGTCCGCTATAAATTACACCGTAATTTCCACATCACAGCATTTTGGGTTTGTGCTTCGTTCAGTTTTATAACAGGAGCCCATTATAACAATAGTCAAATAAAAGAGTATTATGTAGTCGGTTGCTCTAGACGACAATTTTATTTAGTTTCCATGTGCATTAAAAAGTTCATATTCAGTTCATATGTATGTTATATAACAACCAAATTCAGAAATCTGAATACGGCTACTAATATTTAGACAAACTCGAAGATACCCTGTACCGCGATCAGCTACATTTATCGTACTTTGTACACTTTTGTTTTTAACACTGAACAGCAAAAATTGATTCATTCATTTATATTTATTTTCTGAACTATGCATATGAGTCAAGCAATAATATAACAAATACTTTAATTTAAACATTTGTTCTTGCATTGACCGTCAATACTGTTTCTAAATTGCATACACTCGTACTCTACCTACAGAGAAAGTGTGCAATAAATATGTTTGTGTGTGTGTGCGTGGTATCCATGTATACAATTTATTATTGAGTGGCGACGCAAACACAGACAGGTTACATTAGCTGCGTATATCACATATGTATTGGTACTTCCATTTACATACATATATAGATATGTATAAATTATTTTTGTGTATCTATGTATGTATATAAGTTTGCATTAAAGTGAAGTTGTACGCAGGCAGACGAAAGCGCTTTCATCAGTATCGAAGCTTTCGCAGCTTTTTCGAACATCGGCCATTTTAATTTGTTGCCACTAAACGCAAACAATAAGAAAACAAAATAAGAAAAGAGCAAACTTCAGCATGGAAAAGTAGCTGTGCATTGAGCTGTTGTAGGCTTTACATAATGAAAATATTGACAATTATTTTACAAGTTGCTGGCAAACACAATATATGAAATATATAATTAAAAATTCGTTTTAATTTCATATGGCATTGCGCAAAAGTCCTTTTGTAAGACGGATGTACATACATTTGAGTATTAAACTGAGTAGAGCAAGTGCAACAGCTGATTGGGCAACAAGTTGCGAAAAAGCTTTCGAAGCTGTCAACTCGTAGTTCAATGCCACGAAAATTGTGCCGAACAATCTCGTCGTGTTTAGTCGGCCTCGTAATTTTCGACCTCGACCAACTCGAATTTTGCAACTTGTTGTGCGTGTGGCCACGTCCTCGTCCTTGTCGTGGCTAAGAAGGCAGAAAATCAAAGTCAGTTGTACGCGCACAGCTCTTATGTGTGGTACGTTGAAATTTTGTGTCCCGAGTTCGTATCTGCATCTAAATCCGAATCCCGAGTGAAATTAATGAAAATTAAACGCAGTAAAATAATTAACGGTTGTTCATTCAGAATGTTTTGTGATTTGTTTATTTCGATCAATTATACATTTGCTTGAACTGATGTGCTTACATGTTTGCCCCATAGATAATCTGTATCAGATATTAAAATTTGGTAAAAAGACAGCGCCCAAGTAGGTACCAAAAGTTTTGTCAGCCAGTGAGCCAGTCAGAAAGGTGTTTTTTATGGATTTTCCTGCGTCGTTTTTGTGGCTGCGTCGAAACTGTTGCTTTGTTGTTTTCCATTACTGAAGCAGGTGGCTTTTAGGTGTACACAACGTAGACCTGAGCTGTACGTGAAGCATAACTGAGAGTACCTAAGCATTTCTTATGTACAAATTGATAAAGCTATCACTCGAAAGGGAAAGTTCATAATATTAAGTTACATATGTACATACATATGCATATGCTTGATTATGCCTTATATTCAATATGTATGTTGCATAACGGAAGGTGTTAAGTGACAATTTGTGTGTCCATATTGTGACACATATATCAAAGAAATGATGAGATTGAGATATTGCTATTATATTATATATAAACTAAAAGTAATTTATTGCTGTAGCAATGACGCTTTAAGCATGCATAAGTCTTAGATCATTGGAATTTCGATGAAATTGTTTGGTGTCAGCGTTTCATCAAACGATTCAGCGACACATTCAAAGAAGTGTAAGTCTTTAGGCCACTCGCGTTATTCCCTGAAAGCTCATCTTCTTTGGCGAAGGAAGTCTTGTTAAAAATGTATTATCATCATAAATTTGTACTACATTAGGCATGCTCTTAAAAGAATTTAAAACAGCAGTAAAACTGACTGCTAGCTATCTTCGTTGAAACCCCATACGGGTGCTTACATTCAACCAGCCAGGCAACAAGAGGCAAGCCAAGCTACCAAAAAGCAAAGTTAATATAATTATTTTTAGATAACAAACCAGGCGAGTGCACAATTTTGCGCAGGCCTCCTTCAATATTGACAATGCTGTTGCTGGCGTAGTTGTTGCTGCCTACGAAGTCGCAAAAGTGCGTGAAGCACAGGGCGAGGAGTGTCCAGGGCCTGCCTGAAAATGGGGCGGATTGGGCTTTGAGTGTGTTCAATGTTCTTCACACGTTAAGTTGGATTCAACGTTACGTTAAAGCCAACTAA